ATGAAGAATACTGCATGACAGAAGCAGAAGCTGCGATATTTCTGCCTTGTTTGGCGGAGAAGGTTAGACTGATATTAATCCAAATTCCTATGGTGTTGGCCTCTTCATAAGATTGGTCCCGTTTATCTTTCTGTTTTTGAAAAAGATTGGTCTTTTTTATTTAACCCTTTTTCCTTGGTCCAGTTGGGGCATAACATTGAAAAAGTAAGAGAAAAAATGCGGGAGCTGATGAAGCAGATTATCCAAGCATATTCTGTGGCAAAGACATATCCCTATATTTTGGAAGGTTTACGTTCCAAAAACAACCGGACGAGGATAGAATGTACTGATCTTATAGGATATCTACTCGAGACTTGTGGAACTGAGGTAGTCGCAAGACTTGACTAATTCTTTGACGTCCCTGTTCTGTTTGAATTCTAATATGCCTTTCTAAGCAGATAAGTGGACTTCTGAAATACTTAAATATGGTTGCAAGCTTGACGGCAGAAAGAGATGGTGAACTCAGAAAAGCCGCTTTGAACACCATGGCTACTGGTTATAAGATTCTTGGTAAGACATGAAATTTATGAGCTTTGACAAAGTTATAGTGGAATTTTAATAACACATGCCATGTCTCGCAGTCATAAGTGCACAATTTTGGCTTGTCTATGTTTCATAATAATCTGGACCTAATGATGATTCTGAAACGAATTTTGCACTCGTTTCTCATTGTTTGGCTTGTTATTGCAGGTGGGGATATCTGGAAATATGTTGGGAAGCTTACAGATGCTCAAAAGAGTATGATTGATGATAGATTTAAGTGGAAAGTAAGCTCAAAATATGATCAATTTTTCTGCTTCAGTCTTGTATCTGTGAGTTTTGTTTTCATCTTGTTGCCTGCATCAGAACAAGGAAATGGAGAAAAGAAGAGAAGGGAAGCCTGGGGAAGCACGAGCAGCATTAAGGCGTTCTGTTAGAGAAAACAGGTGCGTAGGTTACCACATTAAGACTTTTTGGTTGCAGCTTATTTGTACTTAGCATCAGCAATAAGCTAAAAGTGGAAGCCAAAAAGAAAATCACATAAATCCAGGGCCCAATAATGGATTTTAGAATCACAAAATTTTTTTAATTTTGGTTTTGTTAGTGATTGGAAACAGAAAGAATTCCAAGACGTGTTTACTTTTTACTGTCTATAATTTATGACTTTCTGTTTGTTTTCAGTCCTGAAGGGGCAGAGCAAAGTGGTGACCTTTCTCAAATAGTCCCTGGTCCTTTATTTCCAAGGTATGCATATCTATAAGTTCCTGGTGTTAATGCGGCTTCTATACACAACTCATATTTTTGCTCTCCCAGGCAAAACTATGGTATTTCAGAACAAATTCTGGAGAGGAACCCAGTACCTCGGTCAATTGCTGGAGTTAATGGCCCTACAGACTGGAATGAGGCTTTGGACATCATTATGTTTGGTTCTCCAGAGCAGGTATCTGACCTGATATCATTTGTTTAGTTTGTTATGAAGTAACTTTTTCTGTTTTAGGGTAATAGCATAAATTATTACTTGATAATGCTATTATTGTAACTTTGTTATCTAGTCAGTAACAAAGACTTATTTAAGGTCCTTAGAATACTTGATATGTTTGATCTGGTTGGATGGGGGTGTGATGCATAATTGAAGATCTTGCAAGTGCTAGTTTGGTGTGTCAATTTCTTTTAATTTTATGTGTCGCAGTCGGTTGAAGGGATGAAAGTTGTGTGTCATGAGTTGGCACAGGCTTCTAATGATCCTGAAGAGAGTGCAATTGATGAACTTGTGAAGGATGCAGATGGGCTTGTTTCATGCTTAGCAAATAAGGTTTACCTGATAGACCTTTTTTGTCCATTGTCCTTGAATGACTACTTCCAATAATAGTTTTTGCTGACAGCCAATTAATTATTTGTGTATTCTGTTAGGTTGCCAAAACATTTGATGTTAGCTTAATGGGAGCTTCATCGAGGTCGTGTAAATATGTTCTTAACACACTTATGCAGGTAACTCTGTTTGAATTAGTGATGCTGCTCTTCTTTATTTTCTTGTTAGCCCACTACTCACGAGTATGTATTGTTGCAGACATTCCAAAATAAGAAGCTTGCCCATGCAGTCAAAGAAGGGACTCTTGAAAGCCTTATAACAGAGCTCTTACTTTGGCTTCTGGATGAAAGAGTTCCACGTATGGAAGATGGCAGCCAACTTCTGAAAGCTCTGAATGTTTTGATGCTTAAGATCCTGGTCAGATATTCCTCTCATGCTAAAGGTTTTCATCATATGTGGCTATGCAGTTCTCCTTCCTCACTTTTTTCTTGTTTTATTAAATTTAGGATAATGCAGATCGAACATCATCGTTTGTGGTTCTTATTAGCTTGCTACGTCCTCTTGATCCATCTAGATGGCCTTCACCTGCTACTGCCGAAGTTTATGCTGTCCGGAATCAGAAATTCTCTGATTTGGTAGTTAAATGCCTTATTAAACTGACAAAGGTATGGTTTCTACGAAATGTATTTAGGACAATCATTTTTAGCATAACTTAAGTAGCTGTTACATTCCAGCCCTGCTTTCTATTTTGGCGTGCCTTTCCTACTTGCTAAAATCAAAGCGTCAAATTGTTTGGTATTGTTTATCTGATAATTTTGCTTGTTCATGTTAAGCTCCTCCAAAGCACCATATATGAAGTTGATCTTGATAGGCTACTTCAGAGTATCCATGTATATCTGCAAGAGCTGGGAATGGAAGAGATACGTAGGAGGTACATTTCCTTAAATACACTTACAAATTTTGCAAATCTTAGTCTGTTTATTATGTGGAAATTTGTATTTGCCATTACTAATTCATTCTCATTTTGTTATCGGTTGGCATTTTTTCCAATGAGAAGAGCTGGGGCAGATGATAAACCTCTGAGGATGGTGAAAACTGTTCTACATGAACTTGTAAAGCTCCGGGGAGCCGCAATCAAGGGCCACTTGTCTCTTGTCCCTATTGATATGAGGCCACAACCCATCATTCTCGCTTACATCGATCTGAACCTTGAGGTGAGATCTTAGTCTTCTAACTTACATCATTCTCGCTTACATCGTTCTCACTTACATCGATCCGAACCTTAAGGTGAGATCTTAGTCTTCTAACTTCCTGTCCAGAATTCTTGACAAACTGTTGAAGCTGAGGGTTTGGTCAAAGAGCGCATCCAAACTATTTGCTGTAATACCTCGCATGATATTGAACTTGAAAGATTATATGTGTACTAAATTACTTAATTGAATAATACATTTGAAAAAAGTACTTACATTTTGCAAGAGAATTTTACTGGGGTTTGAGAAATCCAGATGGCATTGGTAGTAACTATTTAAATACTTGCAGACTTTAGCTGCAGCAAGAATGTTAACTGCAACAGGTCCTGTGGGCCAAACCCACTGGACAGATTCAACAGCCAACAATCCTTCACCGCCTTCAAATTCTGCTGATGTTCAGTTGAAGCAAGAACTTGGAGCTATTTTTAAGAAAATTGGGGACAAACAAACTTCCACAATTGGTCTTTACGACCTCTACCACATCACTAAGTCATATCCGAAGGTAATAGATATGGTTTTGCATATCAAGTCTGTGTGTCTCTCCTGTCCTTCATCAACACTAGGCCATTCAAGCCAAATTGTATTCACTAACAAACTCATTTCAATGCTTGAAGGTTGATATCTTCTCCCAACTTCAAAATGCTAGTGAAGCGTTTCGTACTTACATTAGAGACGGCTTGGCTCAGGTTTGTAACAAAGCTCCTGGCTTCTCTTATAATTTCTTCATAGCTCGCTTGTTGTGTTTTGAAGTTTTGCAATCGGTTTTTAGGTTGAGAAGAACGCAGCTGCAGGAAGAACACCTTCAAGCCTACCGTTGTCAACTCCTCCTCCTTCTTCCTTAGCTCTCCCATCTCCTGATATTCCTTCCTTGTCCTCTTTAGATGTGAAGCCTCTGATGAACCATAAATCTGATTCTTTCACCGACGACATCCGAGCCAGTAACATGAATCCTGGAGGTAGTTTCCAAGATCCTTGTCCTTCTCTTTTTTTTTTTTTACTTCCTTGCGGTGTTTTATTCAATCTGTTAGAAAAACATCTATGACAGTGATGACTGGGACGCTAGATGCAATCAGAGAAAGGATGAAGAACATGCAACTGGCTTCATCAGGAACCCTGGAGCCAGTAAGCAAACCGCTGATGCCAACAAACGATAACTTATCAATAAACCAACAGAGCATTCACACGAGCCAAATGGGACCAGAGAGTCCACACCAACACCCGGTAGTTCTCCCAATGGATGAGAAAGCATTGTCCGGTCTACAAGCCAGAATGGAGAGGCTCAAAGGTGGATCACTCGAACATATGTAGAACTAGAGACCCCAAGCTTTGGAGTCTAAAGTTACAAAGGAAGTTGGCCATTTTTGTTACTTGTCTCGAATTAATGTAGTGGTAGTAGTAATAGTAGTAAAGCACTTTCATTATATACATACATGTAGAGGAGAAATATTTATGGCGAAGATGATACTGCGGCTAGATTTTCCATTTAGTAGTGTATAGTGGTTGGAGAATATGATGAGTGTGAGAGATTCTTAAAATGAGACAAAATATTATTCTTTTCTATGGTTACAGTTTTATTTTCAATCGGAGTGATTCTTTCACAACTACCGCTAACATACGATTCTATTTATATCTTGTGGAATCTGTATTGTGCAGCATATATTCTCTTACATAGTGGAATCTGTGTTGTGCAGTTACATTGGTTTTTTATTCAGTGATGGGGTGTAATTGTATGCAAACCAATTTACCATAAACCGAGAATTTAATGACTAAACCGACAATTGGCTAAATAAATATTAATATTACGAAGACATTGGGCTTTAAGAAGTCAACATGATTATTAAAAGAGAAAAGTTGGCGTAGTCTAAACGCTGACCCAGTTCGAGACCCTCCTGCCAGCGGTATATATATATATATGTAATGTATACATAAAAAAAACCAGCAGCATCGTCCTTCTGAAATCCGAGAGAGAAGAGCCAAGGAGAAGATTTTAATCAGTCGCCAAACAAGAAAAAGATGCAGATCTTCGTCAAAACCCTCACCGGAAAAACTATAACCCTAGAGGTCGAGAGCAGCGATACCATCGACAATGTCAAAGCCAAAATCCAGGTTTATCTAGGGTTTCTTTTCGTCTTTATCCTCTCAACTACTGTTTACTTCCTCTGAATATATCTACTTGTTCTTAACCGGATTCTGTGTTTGTTCGAGAAGCGATCTGATTTATTCTCCGCCGATCGAAGTAGGATTGTTTCGAGTAGCAGTAACCTGTTTGTAATTGATTTGAATTGCTTGAGGTTTTGCGAGGATGTATAATTAATTGTTAACGATCTTTAATCTAGATGTAGGCTGGTTTAAATAGTTTTTGTAAGTTTGTGTTGTGATGTAGCTGAGCTCTGCTTTTGTTTGGTTTTCAGGACAAAGAGGGTATACCACCTGATCAACAAAGGCTCATCTTTGCTGGTAAGCAACTCGAAGATGGCCGAACCTTGGCTGATTACAACATCCAGAAAGAGTCTACTCTTCATCTTGTCTTGAGGCTCAGAGGTGGTACCATGATCAAGGTCAAGACTCTCACTGGAAAAGAAATCGAGATTGATATCGAACCAACCGACACTATTGATCGTATCAAGGAACGTGTTGAAGAGAAAGAAGGCATCCCTCCTGTTCAACAAAGGTATCAAACACTTTTTCCTCTGATCACTTCAAGATTTTTTTTCGTTGTTCATGTGCATTTACACCTCAATTGAGTTTTGTTCTGTTTCTTGTGATATTGTTTGCTGTGTATTGCATATGTTACCATACACTTCTTAAGAGTCACTATACAACTCTGCTACAGATATGTATTTAGTTTGATTATCTTTGTGGTTATATTTCAGGCTCATCTATGCGGGAAAACAGCTTGCTGATGACAAAACGGCCAAAGATTACAACATAGAGGGTGGCTCCGTTCTTCATTTGGTTCTTGCTCTTAGGGGTGGTCTTCTCTGATCTGAATAAATAAGATTCAACCGAACATCTTCGTTCTCTCTCTATTTTCCTTCTGATGTGGAATTCATGACATAAAAATGGATATGGAAATTGGAATGTTATAATATGATATTTCTCTCTGCTTGTGTTTGGATCATAGTACTTCTCTCTTTTCAGCCTCTTCTGATATAATAGTAAGAGAAATAGTTGTCGGGGATGTATGAGTTGGGAAACTCATTAACCAATTCTTTCGTTTCCTTGGGCATTGGCATCTTTGTATATATCATTGATGACAATTCACCAATATTTAGTTGAATACGGCTCATGCAGTGAGAATCACGCATCCAAAAAACTTAACCAAACTACTTAATAACAGACCAGGGAGAAGCTTGACTAGAAGATTATCCATTAACTAATCCAATACTTAAGTAAGCTTAGAATGTTTGATTTGAAAATTGCTTTCTAAGCTTAAAATCCGTTGTAGAGAGAGTTCTCCCATTGACAAACTAGAAAAGATAAAACATATAGATAAGACAGGAAAAGGGTAAAACAAAAGGTGTTAATATATTAACTATTAAGTTGAGGGAGAAGCATCACTACTATTCTATTTTCATTTCTCATTATTGCAAGCACTGTCTTTTCGAACTTGGCGACAATCTTAGTACTACAAAACAAAAGATTTTGACCGGTCTTACTTAGCTCATCATCATCCCTTTCTTCTCCCCTTTCTCCAACACTTATTTCTTTCTCTCTCTCTCTCTAGTTCTTGAATTCTCAAGATTCAAAGACACACACGGATGGCTACGCATACCTCTTGGTAAATCCAAAAAGAGACACACATATGGCTGATCCATCGGGTGGTGCAGAGAAGGTTACGAGAGAGTTTAGGAAAGGAAACTGGACGGTGAATGAGACCTTGGTGCTCATAGAAGCCAAGAAGATGGAGGAGGAGAGACGTATGCGTCGGTCGGAGAAGAAACCAGAAAACAAGAACAAAAGCTCGGAGCTCCGGTGGAAGTGGATAGAGGAGTATAGTTGGAGAAGAGGATGTCAGAGAAACCAGAACCAGTGCAACGACAAGTGGGACAATCTCATGAGAGATTACAAGAAGATCAGAGAGTACGAGAGATCGAGAATAGAATCGTCATCTTTTAACACCGGCTCTTCCCCTCCGGCGTCGTACTGGAAGATGGAGAAGAGTGAGAGGAAAGAGAGGAGCTTGCCGACTAATATGTTGTCTCAGATATACGAAGCGTTGGCTGAGCTTGTCGAGAAAAAGACTCTTCCATACTCCTCCTCCTCCTCACTCGGTAACGGTGGCCAAGGATTTGTAGCTCCGGTGATGGCTCAGCAGATGCTTCAAATCCCGACTACTATTGTCTTATCTCTTCAGCCACCGCCGCCACAACCTCTAGTCTTGTCACATCCTCCACCGTTCACATTTCACGCTGAGCCTATACAGCCCACAGTAGGTAGGTACCTTCCGTTTTATCTCTCTTCTTAACTCATAATTAAATGACCCCAAAAGTTAGATTTTATTTCAGATTTATAAATTAAATTTCGACAAGTACCACCCACATCTTAACTTGTCTCAGTCAGTCCAAATATACTTTAAAAACCAAACTTTACTATATTATCAACGAAGAAAAGAATGAAACCCTAGATTTAACAATTTTTTTGAGTATAGTAAGATTAGAGAATAAAATAGTAGTAAACCCCGCATTTTGCTCGATGAAAAGACTGAAACAAGTGAGTATTCATTTCAGACACATCAGGGGCGAAGCGAAGGAGGACAACAACGCCTCCGGGAGAAACGACAGCCCAAGGAGAGATCAGTGAGGACGCGGATGTTATGGTTGGAGCGGCAATATCGAGGAGCGCGTCGGTGATCGCACAAGTAATAAGAGAGAGTGAGGAGAGACAAGAGATGAGGCATAAAGAAGTGATGAGGCTGCAAGAGAGGAGACTAAAGATGGAGGAGTCGAAAGCGGATATAAACAGACAAGGTATGAGTGGTTTGGTGGACGCCATTAATCAACTCGCAACTTCCATTCTTGCTTTGGCTTCTTCTTCTTCGTCTTGCCATAACAATCACAATCGTCAAGAAGGTCCACCTTGATAATCATATTGACTAGACTATTAGTTAATTGTCGATGAATATGTTACTTAGGTAGAAGATGTAGATATGTAAATATATGAATCTTGATTTGTAACGTCATTTGTTAGCATATAAAGTATAGACCTATATCAAACATGCAGGATGTTCTTGGCATGAAGTAATTAATGAATCATTTAATATCATGCAGTTAAAAAGTTGTCTTTTACGTTGATGATAGAATGTGGAGTTCGGAAGGTGCTCGGGTTAGTGTGAGGCTAGCTAGTGGTAAATGGGAGAGAGAGAGAGAGAGAGAGAGAGAGAATGGTCAAAGGAAGAGAGAGTGGTCAAAGAGTAGTATTATTGGTGGGTTAAAAGTGTTTTTTTCATCTTTACATATTCTTCTCACCTTTTACTGCAAATCACTACAAAAAGTCAGTGTCACAAAGGACCCTCCCCCCCTTAATTGGTAGGGTAGGCGTTTCTCTAGAATAGAACGTGAATGAATCACAAATACTTAGTATATTGCTCTTTCTCCGTTTCCGTTACCGGATAAACCAAACTAAAGATCACTTCCAAACCAAAATGCTCACCATGCATCATGCATATACATGTATTCGAGCTACTTTATAATGTCAATCTTTTAGAATAATAATATATTAGGTTATTAATCAGAAACTATATATACTTTTTTTTTTTTGTTGCCATTGCTAGGTTTTATGAGGTTTCTGCTCACTGTTGGACTATTTGTTTTTGAGGCCGGGAACGTCTCTATTTACGTGTCATGGTTAAGAACTTAAGATCAAGATTTATGTTTGTTAGTTACATACACTCTGATTCATCCGGTGATGAATATTAGTGAGTGTCACATATTTTTAGAATTCAGAAAATATAAGATGTATAAAAGTTTTTCTTCTAGAATTTCCTCTGACCAAAATAAGGAAATATATACTATTGTCTTCTACCTCTTTGATTTCATATATTTATATATCTACATGCTGATTGTATTCTTGAGAAAAGTTAATTAGTGATTGCATGAAGTTATGTGAAATTGTGACTATTATAGAAATGATAGATAGAAAACAATTTCAGTAATCTCAATATGAAAATATGATGTATGAGAATGATAAAAACATTCTCGGTTTCTTTAGTCTGACCACTAAAATCCTAATTAAAATTAAGGATTAAGCATACTGAAATCATTGAACTGAATCCTCTCTTTCAAGATTTCAGGCAATTTAACCAGGAAAAACAAAAAAAAAATTGAAGATCGGTTAAAAAAAAATGCACAAAAGTGAAAGACCATGCATATATATAACCTTATTAATTTACAAGTCTTAAGTTCTTTGCGAAGATCACAAAAGTGCATGACGAGTTGACGACCGCTCTTAAACGGTTCTTTGGATTTATTTGGTTTTATTATATATAGTATATGAATTCTCTTTTTCTTTTTTATTTTTTATTTAGAAAAAACGAATCATGGTTTAGATCAGACATCTCTGACACTAATGATACAAAGGTTTCGGGGTAATTATATTTTCCATATAGTTTTCATAGGTTTCGTATGCAAATTTTATCAATATTATTGTTATTTTGCAAATTTTGTATACATATAGTAAGGTTTGTTTGAGAATTCTTTCTAAGTGTACAAAAATTGTAAAATAAGTATTTGTTATATAGTTTTTGTCAATTGTCATTTATGTAAAAGAGCAACGTGGTCCATGTTAAGTAGTTATCAGTTTTTAATTGGTTGGCAGTGGCACATAACCATAATTTTAAACATGGGATACCCACCACCAACGAATATTGTAACCAATAATTTAATATAATTGACAACAAAACAAAGAGTTTGAAGAATAAACATAATGACAACGAAGAGCTTAGCTTAGCCCACTTGGCCGATTGAAAAAAATATCCAGTTTTGACTCCAAAGAGGACTAGAGAGAGAAACAAAGAGAAAGACAGAGAGAGAGCTTCGTCGCCCACGAAGCAGAAGACTATTCGTGGAAGAGATAATTCTCAATGTCTCCTCTCCCAACCTTCCACCGTCTTCCTCACGACACGTTCTCCTCTCTTCTCCGCTCACTGGTTCGTTCGTTTTTCCCCACCCCATTGACGAATGCTGCATTTTGCTTGTTACTTGCGACTGCTTTTGATTCTCTCTTTCTTTTTTCCCATTTTTATAATCCGTGTTTCTTCCGATGACGTTAATGCTTCTTCAATTTTGGACTTTTCTTTACAAAGGCTTGATCTTTCTTCTTCTTTTTTTCTCTTGGGTTACTGTTGATTTTGACTTGGATTTCACTAAAATTGTGAATACCCATTTCGTCTTTCTTGCCTACTACATTGCTTTAGATCTGGATCCAATCAATGTGTTGAAATACCAAATATTTTATCTTGTTTGTCTTCTCTACTCCTCTAGATTTGCGGGTTCAAGAATGTATGTTACAGATGTCTTTCAAAATGAATTAAACTTGAGGGACTAATCGTCTTCTCTTTTACTGCTCATTGAAGTCTCAAGTTGGAAGTTCTACAGCATCAGAGGCATTCCTCAAATCCGCTCCTACGTTTGAAGATATCATTGCTCGAATTGGACTATGGTGGGAGAAAACAAGGGCTGTTGTTGTTGTTCCTGTCTTCAAGTTCCTGGTGGCTCTATGCTTGATCATGTCTGTCATGCTCTTCGTCGAGGTTATGTACATGGGCATTGTCGTACTGTATGTCAAGTTGTTCAAGAGGAAACCAGAGAAGGTTTACAAATGGGAAGCTATGGAGGATGATGTTGAGTTTGGCACTGCTACCTACCCTATGGTTCTTGTGCAAATTCCCATGTACAATGAAAAAGAGGTAAAAAGCAAAGCAGCTACTATCTTTTCCAGTGTTTTGTTTGTAGTCGAATTCATTTGGTGGGATGTTGCTGTATTTGGTAGGTTTGTGAGCAATCAATTGCAGCTGCTTGCAAAATCTCGTGGCCATCTAATCGTATAATAATTCAAGTGCTTGATGATTCTACAGATCCAGCCAGTAAGGTCCTTGTTAACCTCTATCGACACTTGTCCTTTCTCTCTCAGGCCCTGAGTTTCGGCCTTATGATTCTGTGTTGCGATAGAGTTAATTCCTGAACATTTTGGTAATGTGGCATTGATGGAAGGAAACAGGATTTGGTGAAAAAGGAGTGTGAGAGATGGTCAAAAGAAGGCGTAAACATAACGTTCGAGATTAGGGACAACAGGAACGGATATAAAGCTGGTGCTCTGAGAGAAGGAATGAAGCATAGCTATGTGAAGCAGTGTGACTATGTTGCTATCTTTGATGCTGATTTCCAGCCTGATCCTGACTTCCTCCTCCGCACTGTTCCTTTCTTAATTCACAATCCCAAGTTAGCACTTGTACAAGGCCGGTGGGAGTTTGGTAACATTCCTTAGAGACCTCTCTCTTTATTTTTCCTTTACATTTATAATTGGTACATGAGATTTTGCTTTTGATAATAATCTCAGTGAACGCGGATCAGTGCATGATGACGAGATTGCAGGAGATGTCTCTGAGTTACCACTTTACAGTAGAGCAGCAAGTTGGATCTTCAACTTTTGCCTTCTTCGGGTTCAACGGTATTATAGCATTCTCATTTTTGATCTTCAACGGTATTGTAGCTTTTCTTTTTTTAATTGTCTGAAACTATTACAGGAACAGCTGGCGTCTGGAGAATCTCAGCACTGAATGAGTCAGGGGGATGGAATGACCAGACAACAGTAGAAGACATGGACTTAGCTGTGCGAGCTACACTGAGAGGCTGGAAGTTGCTATATATCGATGATCTCAAGGTAAAGATAAGAGATTCCTCTCTTTTGTTGGCATACTTGGGTTATGTGTTTGAAACATTTTTCGACTGAATGTAGGTAAAAAGTGAGTTACCTTGCTCCTTCAATGCCTTGCGTAGTCAGCAGCATCGATGGACTTGTGGCCCTGCGAATCTATTCAGGAAAATGGCTGGAAAAATAATAAGAAACGAAAATGTTTCTCTATGGAAGAAGTTGTATATGTTGTACAGCTTCTTCTTCATGCGGAAGATCGTGGCGCACGTCCTCACATTCTGCTTCTACTGTGTTATCTTGCCAGCAACTGTTTTGTTCCCAGAAGTCACAGTTCCCAAATGGGCCGCGTTTTATCTTCCTTCTTTAATCACTCTCTTTATCGCAATTGGTAGACTAAGGTATCCTCTCTTACTCTTTCCATATAACTTATCATCTTTTCCTTGAGCCAAAAAAAATTCATCTTTTTCTGACTTGTTACATATCGTACTACTTTTTTTGTTAACAGATCAATCCACCTTTTGGCATTCTGGGTTCTGTTCGAGAATTCAATGTCCCTGGTTCGAACAAAGGCTCTTGTCATGGGGCTGTTAGAAACAGGAAGAGTACAAGAATGGGTTGTGACAGAGAAATTAGGTGATACTCTCAAGACGAAGCTAATTCCACAAGTACCTAGCGTCAGATTCAGAGAGAGGTAAGAAGACATTTCTTTCAAACTGGAGCCTTAACCGAGTTGGATTGTAATCTGATGATATCATAATCTGTTGCAATCAGGGTGCATTTGCTGGAGCTATTGGTTGGAGCGTACCTGTTGTTCTGCGGAATCTACGACATCATCTATGGGAAGAACACACTCTATGTGTACCTTCTATTTCAGTCAATAGCCTTCTTCGTGGTTGGTTTTGGATATGTAGGAAAATATGTTCCTGCTTCCTCTTAACATAGATAGGATTATAAAGAGACAGAGTTCTCTCAATATGGTTCAGAAGGTTTTTTTGTTGATATCATATTGAGAACAGAGCCTATATATATACTTGGCCAACGTGGACAAAATAGGTCACTTGTATTAACACTTGGCTTCTTTTTTGTAAACAACGAAGCTCAAATGTGACCAATACATATTCCCCTCAAAATATTTGTGTTGAATCGTGGCTTCATATTGACTACAACTTAGAAAATATCTTTAATTACTGTATTGTTTTTAAGTCTACACTATTTATGGCTGAAATTTGATTGACTAATCATATCCACTAGTCCACTTCTTGAAACGCGCGGCCATGGCAATGTCTCTTCTGCTTTCGAGCTATCCTCTCCAATCCTTGACCAAAAGCAACAGATGGTTTCCGGTTCGGACCGGATCAAAACCGGTTTGTTTAGCACTGACCAGAGCCCAAACAAGCGGTGGTGACCAAGAGGAGAATGTAGTGATTGTCGGCGCTGGGATTGGTGGTCTTGCCACCGCCGTTTCACTTCACCGGTTAGTACGAATTACAAAAATTGGTTTTTATGAATTTACATGAGCCCACTGAACCCGAGATTTTGGTTGGTGGGTTAGGCTTGGAATCCGGTCGGTGGTGCTAGAGCAGGCAGAGTCGCTTCGGACAGGAGGAACATCCCTGACACTATTCAAGAATGGCTGGAGGGTTCTTGACGCCATCTCCGTCGGGCCTCAACTCCGAACTCAGTTCCTTGAAATTGAAGGGTACAGTTTCTTTCTGCTCATATTGATAAAAAATAAAAAGATGATTTGGTCTTCTACAAATGTGAAATTTGTTCTTGCCTTTACTTTTACCTGAGTGTGTTGGTATGATCAGCTATGCAGGATGGTAGTGAAGAATGAAGAAGGAAGCGAGCTTCGTTCTTTCAAATTCAAAGACGAAGATCAAAGGTAGTGTGAAGCTTGATATATAGAGACGTCTATTGAATTTAAATTCCAGTTGTACTCTTGATATATAGAGACGTCTATTGAATTTATAGAGACGTCTATTGAATTTAAATGCATGTGTGTGATTAACCAATGCATATATGTCTTGTATAGCCAAGAAGTTCGGGCAGTGGAGAGGCGAGTACTCTTGGAAACACTTGCAAGCCAGCTTCCTCCACAAGCCATTCGGTTTTCCTCAAAACTGGAAAGTATACAAAGCAATGCCAACGGTGACACTCTCCTTCAACTTGGAGATGGAACCCGGTTGCTTGCAAAGGTATTGTTCCCCGAGCTCTTCCATTAGGCTACGAGCCTATAATTATGTTTTATGCTAAGTACATGGATGCCTTGCCTTTCCCTCGAGCACCTTTTGCTTATTAGACAGCACGATGCACTAAGCTATTATGATCTGAAGATATGTTCCTTGGCTCATTTGATGATGTATGTCTTTGAATAGATTGTAATTGGTTGTGACGGTACTCGGTCTAAAGTTGCAACTTGGATGGGGTTCAGTGAGCCGAAATATGTTGGTCATTGCGCTTTCCGTGGCCTCGGGTACTATCCAAATGGACAGCCATTTCAGAAAAGGGTGAATTACATATACGGAAGAGGGCTTCGAGCTGGATATGTACCTGTATCTGCAACAAAAGTCTACTGGTTCATCTGTTTCAACAGCCCATCTCTAGGTAGATTTTAACACCCCTCCGTACATACCCCTGTGATAATTCCTTGTTTCGTTTCCCATATCATAAAACTTGATACATGCAGGGCCCAAAATTACGGATCCAGCTATCCTAAAAAAACAAGCCAAAGAGATGGTTAGTACCTGGCCTGAAGATCTGCAAAACCTCATCGATTCAACACCTGATGAAACAATCAGCAGAACTCCTCTTGTAGACCGGTGGCTATGGCCTGGCATTGCTCCTCCAGCATCAAAAGGCAGAGTGGTTCTTGTTGGAGATGCCTGGCACCCAATGACTCCAAATCTTGGGCAAGGTGCCTGCTGCGCCTTGGAAGATTCGGTTGTTCTAGCTAATAAACTTGCCAGTTCAATCAATGGAGGGAACGAATCAGTTGAAGCAGCAATGGAATCATACGGGAGTGAGAGATGGTCTAGAGCATTCCCGTTGACAGTACGTGCAAACCTAGTTGGAGCACTTCTGCAATGGGACAATCCTCTAGTGTGTTCCATTAGAAACAATATCGTCATACCAAAGTTAGTGAAGCTTGGCCCAATGCTGGAACACACAAACTTTGAGTGTGAGCCTCTCTATGATGGTTCAAAAATCTGAAAAAACTTCGTAGGCGTTTTGATCTAAAAGCATATGTTCCATTGAATAGATGATCAAACAACCTCAAAGAAGATAATACAAAACTCTGTGATTTAATAATGTAAAAGAATAATACAATGTTTCTACAAGCTAACATTAGTCTCAACAAGAACAGAGTAAAGCTTCGACCCTGAAGAAGCACCTAAAAATATGAATGAAACTCTGTAATCGTCACTGTTTGATCATTGCTACTGTGAAAAGAAACAAAAAAACAAATCAAACGCAAATCATCGGGAGAGTATAGCGAAAGGTTTCATTTCATCATCATCAATCGAATTGGTTTAAAAACCTGGATTCGAGAACAGCCACAGTATCAAGGCGCAGAGGATGAGTACGATTGGAATGAAATGGATAGCGTTCTCGGCGGATCTGAGTCTCGATTTGTTCTTCTTCCCGGGATGAGAGTTGGGATCGTACCTAGGCAGAAGAAGCTGACCATCGTCTGCGGTTTTAATTCGCGGCGGAGACGGTGATGGAGACGGAGAATTGGGTGAGAGTTGGTCGGAAACAATGGAGGCGCTCGCCGATCGACGCATCTTCTTCTTTCACTTTTACGCGCTTCACAGAGGAGAGCAACTTCTACTTCTATATATAGAATGGAATATGACCGTTGAATTGACTGTTTTACCCTTTGAAAGTCAAACCTCACTGCGCTCTTCCCGGCAAATCTTACCAAATTATCAAATTAAAAACGTTTTGATAAATAATTTGTTTGTTAACAAAATGGCGGGAGCTGGATGACATTTTTTAATTGTTGGAGCAAATTCACTATGTTGACCCTTCTTTGGAGAATATACATGGTTTAGTCTGTATTATTTTGGTGAACCTTTCTTCAGAAGATATATCATTTCGATATTTTAGTCGAGAAAGATTAGTATGTTTCTAACTAATTAACTTTCTTTTTTTGTGCAAAGATGTGATCGGAATCGAGAAAAAAGAACATCGAGATTGGTTTAAAATTCATAAAGTAAAGTAATTACATTACGGTTAGTATGTATTTAAGAGATTGTTGATTCTAACCATTATGCTATTTGGATCTTTTAGAATTTTCTTGGATTGTTGATTCCTCTGCTTTTTCTTTTATGTATAACTATTCTTTGGTTTTGTATTGAAATTTCAGATCTCCTTCTATTTTATGTGCTTTAACTAAACTTTTCTTGCAAATCTTAACACTTAAATCTAAATATATTTAAGATGGTTACCAATCCGAGAGAAAAAGTTTACAAATGAAACGCTTTTATCAGATTTATATTGGGCCAAATTAATTTTAAAAATTATGAAATTTAACTATATTTAAGGTCCAATCGTGTATTAGTTTAGGGTTTGAGGTATTCATCTCTATAAATATGCTACATAGATTTCACCGGAACACGCCGCACAGCACCAAAAGCGAAGTTCTTAGCTATTGAAAGGAAAACCAGAAAGTGTGATAGAGACATCCACATAAATTGTTCTTCACTTCGCTGCGCTAACAAGAAAGTAAATCAAAATCTCTCATTTGTATTTGTTTCAAGATAGAAGAAATTTATGTAGATTAAGTTTGCATCGTTAGTAGATGGTTATGGTTTGTGAGCATGAACAAAGATCATCTATTTTCTTTTTAGTTTTCTATTTTTTTTTATAGTTTCCTTAGTCAATTTTTTTTTCTTTTTACAAAATTTACAATCAAGCTTTATCCATCTCAAAATCTAGTTGTGAAGTTGTATTATAAGTTTTTACCTTCTCAAAATTTGGCTGTGGAGTTGCATATACTTCTGTAGTTCTGAGATGAAGAACAAACATAATCAGAGAAGAGTTAACATCAAAAGATGAGATTTCTATACATATTTGATCCCATTTTTCTATACATGTATTCAGCTTCTATATATTCTTCAACCTTTTTTTCTTTTTTTCTTTTTTGCATATTGCCTGACTCGGAATTTGATTTTGATAATAATTAGATTTTTTGTTTAGGGAAATTTTTTTTAATTACTTTTTGAAATTATGAAGATATGCTCACAGATTATGTTATGTTTCATATTGGGAAACAAAAACATTTGTCACTGCACTATTCTTTATTCGTTATAGAGGGTCAAAGGCCTGTGGTTCGTTCCAGAACTACTCTCTGGCTTTAAATTTCATCATCCTTGATTAGTCATCGCATTTCATGGCTCTTTCGCCTATGATGCAACATGTTTTATTGGTTTCTTGTAATTGCAACATTGCCTCCATATTATAATAAAACTCTAATTTAATGTTTATATGGTCGTACGTGACAGCTCGTAGATTAATCAAAGCAAGATGGCTAGCAAGTCCTTACCGGAGAAGGAAGTGGTAGTGGTCTCTGACGATGACGACAATGATGATACAAATATCATTAAGTACATCAAACCTGTTTCAGTATACAAACAACTTGAAGCTCGCTCAAAGAACAACGTATGCATCCTCCTCCTTTATTTTTATTTTTTCTGTTTAACTGTGGTAACAACTGTTTTTCATTTTTACTATTTAGAAAACAGTGTAATTAAAGGAAAAACCTATTTTAGTTTTGTATTTTATATCTACAGTAATGTTTTATTATATATGTTAATCATGTGTTCTTTAATTTGTTTATGCAGCCATATTTTCGTCGAAGGTGTTTGAACTACATAATCAAAGCGAAGAAAAAAAAGAAGTAAGATTCTATTAATGCTTTGATGCTTTCAGAAGTAATTTTATTGCAAAGAAAATTTTCTAAAAAAACATAATATTTTGTTTTCTGAACTTAACTTAATATATAGGGAGTGTTTGGAACGAAATTTTGTTTTTGTGGAATTTTAATTAGGTTATTCTTCTATTTTCTAGTATATGATTATGATTACTTCTTCTCTGCTCATGACAGACTAATACATTTTGCTTAGGTCAAATTCAAGAGTGACAATAAGATTCAACTATAGGGATGTGGGAAACAAGAAAACACTAAAAGCTGAAGGTAAGATTTTGTAAATTGGGTGTTTCCTTACATAATCTGTTGTGTTTCTTCTGACAGTATTTATCATCTACTGATCTACATTTCTGTATCAAAATGCAGATGTGGAAAAATTTTCTTGCCCATTTTGCATGATGCCATGTGGAGGCCACGAGGTAGGCACAAACTAATTAAAATTCTAGTATCTTTTATTCTTAACAATGTGAAAATGTGTGTATTCAAAATGTTTCCTTCTCATTCTGTTTCAGTCCTTTGCTAACATACAGTGTCTTATGTTTGTGCACAGGGCTTGCGAGATCATTTGGAGTCATCACATGACGCCTTTAACTATGACTTTTATGTATGTTCTTTTTAGTCATCCACATAATTATTTTTTTATGTTTTTGTCATTAAATTATGAGTAACAAGACTACTTTTTACCTCTTGTAGGGGGCAGCGGAAGATCATGGTCCCGAAGTTGATGTTTATCTGAAAAGGGAGACATTAAAATTTGGGGTTAGTAAGAAACTTGATACATACGTTACATTTCAGGTGGTTTATATATAGTTCATGTTACTCATAATTTTGAACTCACCATGATTTTTTGTTTTGGTATCAGGTACTAAAATATGATGTGGGATATCCTCAGTTGAAACCTTTTATGTTTCGGTAAAGTTTCTAATGCCTTACTCTAGTTTTTAGCTATGATTAAGTATCATCTTATCTTAAAGCCAAACCATAAACTATGCAGACGTAGGAGAAGAAGACAAAGAGGTCTCGTGAAGCGACTTAATGCACGCTTTTTGGAGTTGGAGACAGACGAGTTACCTCGTGGCACAGAAAATGAACTTGCTAATGTGAACGAGGACAATGTCTCATCACCACCAAGAGCTCACTCTCCGGAGAAGACTAGCGACGTTTTAACTACATCTCAACCAGTAATAGCTGAGCCTTCTGAACCTGTGGTGCCTCCTGATAGTGGGAGAAAAGAGTTATTTGAGGAGTCTTCCGAGAAGACTAGCGACATTTTAACTACGACTCAGCCAACAATAGCTGAGTCTTCTGAACCTGTGGTGCCTCAGGTTAGTGGGAGACAAAACTCAACTGCTGAGCCTTCTGAAGCTGTGGTGCCTCGTGTTAGTGGGAGAAAAAAGTCAACTGCTGAGTCTTCTGAACCTGTGGTGCCTCGGCCTCGTGTTAGTGGGGGAAAAAAGTCAACTGTTAAGTCTTCTGAACCTGTGGTGCGTCGTGTTAGTGCGAGAAAAAAATCAATAGACGAGTCTTCTGAACCTTTGGTGACTCCTGTTAGTGAAAGAAGAAACTTATTTGCTGAGTCTTCTGAACCTGTGGTGCCTCATGTTAGAGGAAGAAAGAAGTCATCTGCTGAGTCTTCTGAACCTGTAGTGCCTCAGGTTAGAGGAAGAAAGAAGTCATCTGCTGAGTCTTCTGAACCTGTAGTGCCTCATGTTAGAGGAAGAAAGAAGTCATCTGCTGAATCTTCTGAACCTATGGTGCCTCCTGTAAGTGGGAGAAAGAACTTAGTTGATGAGTCTTCTGAAGCTGTGGTGCCTCCTGATAGTGGGACAAGAAATGTATCTGCTGAACCTATGGTGCCTCCTGTTAGTAGGAGAAAAACGTTAAATGCAGAGCGGTCCAAGACTAAAGGGTTATTATGTTCTTGTGATTGATATGTTCCTATTTTCATATCATCTTTTATCATACTTTACTAACCAAGATTCTTACTTTTGTTTCTAGACTGGAGCGACTTAAGAGCCGGCAGTTCTATCACTCCCGAACATTGCAGGTGGATTGATGTCTTTGATTTACGTAACAATGTGTTGTCTCTGTTTTATTTCACTAACCAAAGCTGCATGTTGAAGCCAATGACCTTTGAAGAAGTAATTTCTAACGAGGATAGCGAGAATGAAACTGATGATGATGCTTTAGATCTTCATGAACGCCTGGTAATATTAATTTGAAAACTCATGCTTATTTTCTTAGTTTTTGTTTAAATTGGTAAGAAAAAATCATCATGCACGTTAAATATATTTATTGGTTTCTATGAATATACACAGAGAATTGAACGTATTCCAAAGTTGGGCAAAGAGCAAAAGCGATACATGTATCTATGGAACATATTAATAAGAAAGCAAACGTATGTGTATCTTCTTCTATATTTTACCTAATCATGCTCCTATCTTTGAATAAGAAAATGTGATATATTGTTGTCGGGTGCCATATTGTTGGATGGGTCATGGGTTTTAGATTTGTTAAATGTGCTTTTCTGGGACCAGGGTGGTCGCGGATGGACATGTTCCTTGGGCATGTGAAGAGTTTACAAAACTTCACAAGGAAGAGATGAAAAGTTCGTCAATTTTTGATTGGTAATAGTCTTCCATAGACATCAAACTGATATCTCTATCCTACTCATCATCTGATCCTAAAATGTGTTGGAGGATCATCACATTTTGTTTAACGAGCAGGTGGTGGAGAAGGTTTAGGATTCACCTGTGGAGTCAAGGCCTTATATGCGCCAAAACCTTTAACAACTGCACAACTATCATCCTCCAGAAGGACAAGAACTCGGAAGAAGCAGGACCATCCAACTCTCACCATCCTGCTAATGCCAACACACAACAATCCATGGAAGCAGGACCATCCAACTCTCACAATCCTGCTAATGCCAACACACAACAATCAATGGAAGCAGGACCATCCAACTCTCACCATCCTGCTAATGCCAACACACAACAATCCATGGAAGTTGATGCATAACAACAGTGACCATATGGAGAAGGAGAAGTTCAGACTGCCATAGCTATCTGGTTTTATTTCGTTTCTTATAAACCTACAGTGTCGTGAACTTTTAGTTTAACCCTCTTACTTGTTTGTGACATTCAGATAAAAAAGGTTAGACTTAAAAAAAATTTAGGATACTTGAGAAGGAAACTACTAATTCACGTTTTTCCTCATCAAAGGCAAATGAGGGACGAGGTAGTATTTAATTACAATACCCAGACGACAAAACCAAGTATTTTTTCCCCCAAATTTACAAACCCTTGCTTACTTCTATACCTAATTTGACCCTTTTTTTTATTTATAGACTTCTTTTTTTACTGGAGAGAATCAGTGAAAAAGGCATATTCACTCCCTCGCCAGCAGACTCACCTGCATCATCATCATCAGTAGACGGAAATGTCGACGCTTATTCCTCCCATGGAAAGATTTTTCCCAGATAGCTTGTGGTCCTCACGCAAGCCCAGCCATAGACACGAGATCCTTGCCAACGCAGCCTGCCCCACCACTTTCACCCGGTACACCATGCTAAGATCTGCAGCTGCTGCCCATAACTCATTCCCAGCAACATTCACCGGCCTCTGTGAGTCGTCATCATAGCCCTCTATATCCGAGTGGGTCACTACCACCATCGACCCATCATCAAACACCACCACATTCCCAGCACAAACCTGCTTCACATTTCTCGGGATCAATGCTGAAGTTTCACCAGTTAGGCAACTCTGAGTATTCAGCACCTTGACATGGTAGTACTCAAGAACAGCCTGCAAACACACCAAGAATCATAAGAACAAACGAAGAAAAATAAAGGAATTAACTCTGATTCATCGATAATGAAATATGTGACCCTTGTCAAATACCTTCCATTGGGTGGCTGCTAAAAGAACCCTGGGCCTGATCGACCTCACATAGGCATATGCTGCTTCAGGTGTCATATGTTTGTGTTGAACCTGCATTGCAAAGATATGATCAGAGGGTGAACAAGGTGTCTTTGATCAAATCGTTTTGGCAATAACTGAATTACAAACCAAGTAGCATATGACAACAGTTGTGCTGCGCCCCCGACCCGCCTTGCAGTGAACATAAGTCGTCTTTCCCAGTGAAACATTTCCTTCAACGAGACAAAATAGAATTTGAGATCAAATGAACACAGGCTTGGGACAACAGTAAGATTCATAACAATGGTCAGTGGATAAAATGAGAAAGTACACTTACTATGGATGAATTCTACAGCTTGGCATATTGCTTCCATGGAAGGAGCAAAACAATAATCTCTCGTGGCAATCACCAGGTGGTCAATGCAGTAAGACTTCCATAAGAGTAAGAAAAACAAATGAGGTTAGTAAACAAGAGGAAACTAAAAGGCAGGGAACTAGTATATATTTTCACGTTGGCCAGGGTAAAAGATGGAAAAAGAACAGACTTTGTAGAGAGATGATGGAACCAAAGTTTCATATGGCTCATTCAGTGTGATCACTCCACAGACGCCGAGCTCTTTCAGCTGTGGAACATCAGATGGGAATGGAACGGCTCCCAGTAATATAAACTGTAGAAACAAATTATGAGAGAGAAGTATTAGTAAGAGACACATAACCAAATCCAGATAACATAATTGGAGGAGTATCTACAAGAGACCCAAATCAAATCATCAAAGCAGCACAATATACACAAAAAATGTAAACCGAATATACATAAACCAGCTCAAAAGTCAAATAAAATTATACCTCAGCAACCCGATCCCACCAGCGAAACTCAGTCTCGAGCTTATTCCTAACAACGTTGTAGATCAGAGTTGGATAGAACAACGCACGAGCTCCAACACCAACCAGTGCCCTCTTTGTAGTCAACACAATTACGTTTCCTCTCCTCACCACTGTCGCCTTATCCCCATCAGCAACGTTATCCTCAACCGATCTCTCCTCCCCATTCTTATCATCCCTTTCCGTCAGTTCTTCGATATACATATTGCTCAAGTCAAAGATCTAGAGATCAAACACAAAATAAAAAAAGCAAATCTATTCTCCTCCCAACCGATAAAACCCCTGATTCACCAGTCTTTATATATATACACAAAGACGATTATTCACAAGACCATCAAACACAAATCGAAAACCCCTGATAAAATGGTGATCACAGGATTCGAAGACAGAGCCAAGAAGAAAGTCTACACGTAATCGAAATCGCGATAAAGTCAAGCGGAAGCAATCTGAGAAGTCTTGAATTCAAAATCTTCAGGGAGATCACCACCATATTTCGCCTGAACAAAACGATGATCCGATCAGACGCCGGTAATGACGAGACGGAGATGACTCTGGAAAATAAAAACCGATCACCGATTAAATCGCCAATGATCGAAGAGAAGAATCGAGAGTGAACCCTAAGAACAAGTTATCGTTTTTTCAATTTGGGGATCGAGAATTTTGCCTAATCTCTACTCAACCTTTAGGTTTCTCTTTAAGAGAGGAGAATCCAAAAAAAAGTAAAGAGTATCTCAGTGTTTTCAAGAGAGGCTTTTTTCTAAAGTGACAAGCGTTTCACCTCTTATAAAAGGCATTAGATGAAAGTCAATGCTTTGTTGACACGTGTTGCGACGATATATGGAGGAAGAGTCATGCATCGCACAAGGCCGGATAACATTGGGATTATCCTTTCTTTACTCTTTTTTTTTTTTTTTAATATATAAATAGGATAAGATCCTTTATTTAATCCTAAAACAAACATTTTTGACAAAATTTGATATATTAGAATTTAATTTTTCAAAAATGGATTACCCAATTTTATTTAGAAGAACTCGATGTTCTGTGGACATCTCAATTCTATATTTAAAAAACAACTAATTTATTTAATAATTTTAAATGTTTAAATTTTAGTCTTTTGCATATTAAAGAAAATTTCAAATTGGCTAATAGTTAATGTTAATATTGAAAAGTATGTAAAATAAATAAAAAAAGAAAAGAATAAATTTAACAAATTTTTAACCCGGCCAAAAATATTTACAAAGCTTTATAAAAGAAGAACAAGGAAAATAAGACAATTTAATCCAGAAATACTATAGTCAGAATAGGAAACCAAACATTTAAGCAATTTTAGCAAGGTCGAAAGAAATGGATAAAATAATAAAAATAGGAAATCCAACAAACAATTCTAACCGAAATAAAAATTATTAAGCAAACAAAAATATATCTCTCACTTAACTATGTAGTGAACATTTACATTTGATGCACGATTTGGTGGAGTTATTTGAGTGTAATCCAACCAATCTAAAACAGTTGTGGTCCCAAAATTTTCTAAAAAATGTCATTATCGAAGAAAAAAAAACAAAATGTGCATCTTTGTAGACAAAAATTACCCCTCAATTAAACATTATACTACATTTTGGAGTTGAAAACTTTTTATTCACCACTACTAATGGGGTATTTATATTCAAGTGATTGTAAAGTTGACAAAGAAGACAAAGAAAAACTGAAAAGTAGCTGAGCTAATTTAGAGTATGTAAAAACCGAAATGATGACAATATGATGATGTGTAGAGATGATCTAAATCCTAACCACTTATGTTTTGTTCTTCTTTAAATCCTAAAGATAGAAAAATATCCTCTGTTTCCTTACATTTTTATGTAAACCGATTCTCTCCTTTTTAATTTAGAGCAGCTTCCTTCTATACTTGTGTCTTTAAGACAAACATTGGCTTCTTTTTGAACCATTTTTTTTTTTTAATTTTACTCACTCGCTCGAATCTAACAATAATGGATGGAGGAATTGATCACCTAGCTGATGAGAGGAGCAAAGCAGAGTTCGATGTCGACGCTATGAAGCTCGTCTGGGCCGGTTCCCGCCACGCTTTCGATGTTTCAAATCGTGTTTCCCGCCTCGTCGCTACTGATCCGGTGAGTCCATTCTCCTCTACCTAACCTTCCTTTCATCATTTTCTCTGTTTTTTATTTTATTTTCCGGTGTGAATTTTGCATCTTTTTTTTGCATGGCCATGAGTTAAGGTTTTTGAGAAACGCAACAGAGCTGTAATGAGTAGGAAAGAGTTGTTCAAGAACACGTTGAAGAAAAGCGTTCACGCTTGGAAGATAATCAATGAGCTTCGTCTTTCTGATGAGGAGGCCATCAAATTGAGGTCTTTCATGGATCAGCCTGGCTTCTTGGATCTGCATTGGGTAATATTAATACACACAAAGTTTTCTATTTGCGTTTTGGGTTGTTTCATTAGAATTTTTGTGGGTGGATAACTGGATATATAGGGAATGTTTGTGCCTGCAATTAAAGGACAAGGCACAGAGGAACAGCAGAAAAAGTGGTTGTCTTTAGCTAATAAGTTGCAGATAATTGGATGTTATGCTCAAACTGAGCTTGGTCATGGCTCTAACGTTCAAGGCCTTGAGACAACCGCCACTTTTGATCCTAAGACAGATCAGTTCATCATTCACAGTCCAACTCAAACATCATCCAAAGTAAGTGGAAGTAATACAATTATATGTTTGATCCCTGAGTCTTTAAGTTTGTGTGTATCTTAATTTTGTTTTGTTTGATATATAGTTTTGGCCAGGTGGTCTAGGAAAAGTTTCTACTCATGCTGTGGTTTATGCTCGCCTTATAACCAATGGCAAAGACCACGGTGTCCATGGTAAGGTATCAGAAGGGTTTCTTGTTCTTATTTTTCTTAAAACTTCAACAGTATTGATTAACAAGATCTTTCTCTTTTTTAGGATTCATCGTCCAATTACGAAGTTTGGATGATCATTCTCCTCTCCCAGGTATAACCGTTGGTGACATTGGAATGAAGTTTGGAAACGGAGCATATAACTCTATGGACAATGGTTTTCTTATGTTTGATCATTATCGTATCCCTAGAGATCAAATGCTCATGAGGTCCTCTCTCTTTGTCCATATATGTGAATAAGAATTTCACCATATACTCTTATACATCCCTAAAGAAACTTATTTATGGCTCTGCATTTTTCTTATTTTAGACTGTCTAAAGTTACAAGGGAAGGAAAATATGTAGCATCAGATGTTCCAAGGCAATTGGTGTATGGTACTATGGTGTTTGTAAGACAGTCTATTGTGTCAAATGCTTCCAATGCGCTGGCTCGGGCAGTCTGCATTGCTACACGGTATAGTGCAGTTCGAAGGCAGTTTGGTTCACAAAGTGGTGGAATTGAAACACAGGTACTCTGTCTGGATCCCACTACAGATAAACTATAAAAGAAAATGTTTACTATAGATGATCATGAATACAAAAACCAGTTTCATGATTGCGGGTGGTCATGGCCATAGAGACCACTTACTGATGATGCTATAAATGGCAGGTGATTGATTATAAAACTCAGCAAAACAGATTGTTTCCTCTGCTAGCATCTGCATATGCATTTCGGTTTGTAGGGGAGTGGCTGAAATGGCTCTACACTGATGTAACACAAAGACTAGAGGCCAGTGATTTTGCAACATTGCCTGAAGCTCATGCATGCACTGCAGGATTGAAGTCTATGACTACCTCTGCCACCTCAGTATGCTTTTTTCTTACATCCATACTTCAGTATGATTTCAAAGCTAAACTTGTTCAAATAAGTTGACAATCAGCTAAATTGGTTTTTTTTGTTGGTTAAAGGATGGTATTGAAGAATGCCGCAAGTTATGTGGTGGACATGGATACTTGTGGTGTAGTGGCCTTCCAGAGTTGTTTGCTGTATATGTTCCTGCTTGCACATACGAAGGAGACAATGTTGTGTTGCAATTACAGGTATCATTCATATGCATCTTCAAGAATAACACTTTTAAGAGCCATTTCAAACCCCTACGCTTTTAAAGTTATGTTTCAAAACAATTGGTTTTCAGGTTGCTAGATTTCTGATGAAGACAGTTTCACAGTTGAGTTCCGGAAAGGTTCCTTCAGGGACAACTGCTTATATGGGCAAAGCTAAACACCTTTTGCAATGCAGTTCCGGTGTTCAAAAAGGTTATTTTTTCACGGATACTTGCAGAAGATTCATACTCGTGATATCTATTTGTTTTCTAAATTATAATGTTGAGCATGCAGCTGAAGATTGGTTAAACCCTGATATGGTGTTGGAAGCTTTTGAAGCAAGGGCTTTGAGAATGGCTGTTACATGTGCTAACAATCTAAGCAAGTTTGAGAATCAAGAGCAAGGATTCTCAGAACTCTTGGCTGAACTTGTTGAGGCTGCTATTGCTCATTGCCAGTTAATTGTTGTTTCTAAGTAAGTAAAACAGCTTTTTCACCAAATTTTACAAACTAATCAACGTACCATAATTATAACTTTACTTGAACATTCACAGGTTTATAGACAAAGTAGAGGGTGAGATTGAAGGAAGAGGGGTAAAGAAACAACTCAAGAATCTATGCTACATCTACGCACTCTATCTCCTTCACAAACACCTCGGTGATTTCCTCAGAACACACTCTGTTACTCCCGAACAAGCTGCACTCGCGAACGACCAGCTTCGGTCACTCTACTCCCAGGTCCGACCAAACGCAGTGGCCTTGGTGGATGCCTTTGACTACACAGACCACTATTTAGGCTCTGTGCTAGGCCGCTACGATGGAAACGTTTACCCAAAGCTGTTCGAGGAAGCATTGAAGGATCCACTCAATGACTCGGTGGTTCCTGACGGCTACCGTGAATACATCCGACCGTTGATTAAACAAGAGTTCCGCTTCGCCAAACTCTAACTATATACGTCTTTTGTGCGACTAAAAAGAGACAACATTATTTGATCATTTCATATGTTATTCACCATTTTAACAATGTGTACGAGTAGGTTTTGACAAATGAAAGAATTTGGATGTCAGAACCTCGTTGTATAAACGAATAGCAAATCAGAACACAATAAATTGGTCTAAATTCATATATTTTTAGATTTTTTTTTTGTCTAAATGTAGTATGATAGTCTCTTCAAGTTATAGGATCATCGTATATATGTCGTCTGCTTCTACGATCATATTAAAGTTTATGTGATGTACTAATCTGCTTTTACGATCTTTTCGAATTCATAAAGTTGCTTAACGTTTTTAGTAATTAATTGAGCAATTAATAACCGAATTAGTTAGTTGAATATGTATTTATCATTATCAAATCGCATATACTATAATTTGTGGTTGTACTATTGCAATAGCCAACTGTTGTCTTCTATCTATATCCTCCAACATTGAAAAGAAAGAAAAAAAGTACAAATACATTCGTATTTATAAAAAAAAAAAAAAGATTGTTAGTTGGTTAGTAGGGAAAGTAGTTAAGACACCCCTCGTTAAATTAATTTTGACAGCTTATGTCTTTTAATTAATCTTTTTTTGTTTAACCCAAAGAGTCGAAATTAAAGACGAAAACCAAGTTTGACTGACTCTTTTCGGTATACCATGCATAGGTCTCTACATGTGGCAGCTATATATGATCGTTTATTCGTATGATTGATATATTTATGTAGGAAAGGCTATGAGATCATAACATGTTTTTGTAACATCCTTAATCTGTGTTTAAGTACTCTGTCTCTTTGTACATCTTGTACCAACGTGTACTACTGCGGTTGCAATATATGATACATGGTGTATTATTCAGATTGTTCACTTAAAACTCTTTCAATTTCCTAATTGCACATTTGTAGACGTACGTAGCTAACTCGCTATATATTATTTTTCTGTATAGACTAGATACGTATAAGGGCTTCAGTAAGATTTATCATTTGCGAATCAACACCAACCTTTTTTTTGGTTTTATTTGCCTTCTTTGCTTACCAACATATCCTTGATACGTAAATCTACGTTTTTGAAACTCTAATCGTTTTCGTCGGCTTTTTTTTTCTTCAAACCCTACCTTACTCACTAGCTAATTAAAAAAACAACACTAGAGTCGTCATTCTTAAGCTATGTATTCACCATCGATGTATAAAAGAGACTGGCCCGACCAGAGAAACTCGACAAAATAGAATGAAGTTTACACCAAATATGGATGCTTTGTAATCAATTTAGACACATAAAACGAGGCTAAATGGTGTTTTTTTTTTCTTTTCTAAATCCATTAATTTGGTGCCCAATAAATGTAAAACGCCGAGCTGTGTAGGGTAATCACTTTTTAAAATGGAATCACCAAACAAATGATGGCTTAATGCAACCTGCTTAGTGTAACTTCTAATATACTCGTATGATTTATCTTGTTTTGTATCAATATGCTACACATTTTTAATGGTTTCTAGCTCCACATTTAAAGAAAGTTTGGTATATATATAATATATCTGTCTGTATACATGTTTGTGTGATCAATTGTTTGATTTTTATTTTAAACTAAACCAATTGGATATTACGTACCACCCAAACTAAAGAATGTAATAAAAATATGAAAATATCTCCAAGCATATGAATTTTTTTTTTTTTTGTTTTCTGTTTGACGAACCGAGAGAGAGTACAATACGTTGAAAACCCCCATATATGGGCTTCTATATATGGAATAGTACGTATTAAATACTAATACATATTATTTTAGGTATAGCCTACAAAAGAAAAATCTGAATTCTAAAATTCTTGGATGTATATAATAACAACACACCGACCTCTTCCTTCTCAAATTTCTAACTCTCTCTCTCACACACTAAACCCAAAAACACACAAAAACCAAATTTTATTTCCTTCTCTATAGCTCAAATCTTCTCACCAAATCACCTCTTTCGTTCACACTTTATTATCAACCCTCTATTTATAAAATCACAAGGACTCAATTCCAAGAAAATGGAACGTGACAGCTGCCGGAGATTTCAAGATTCGCCGGCGCAGGCAACGGAGAGAAGAAGAGTGAAGAATCATCCAAAGAAGAAAAGAGCCAAAGAAGACGATGATAACGAAAAGGTCGTCTCGAAGCATCCAACGTTTCGAGGTGTCAGAATGAGACAATGGGGGAAATGGGTTTCTGAAATAAGAGAGCCAAAGAAGAAATCAAGAATCTGGCTCGGTACCTTCTCAACTGCCGAGATGGCGGCGCGTGCTCACGACGTGGCTGCTTTAGCCATCAAAGGCGGTTCAGCCCATCTCAACTTCCCGGAGCTAGCTTACCACCTCCCTAGACCAGCTAGTGCCGACCCTAAAGACATACAAGCCGCCGCAGCAGCAGCTGCAGCCATTAATGACATGGAGGTAGAGACGTCACCGTCGCCGTCACCAACTGTTACCGATACGTCATCTCCGACTATGACAGCCATATCCGACGACGCGTTCTCCGATCTCCCCGATCTCTTGCTCGACGTGAACCACAAAATCGACGGCTTCTGGGAATCTTTCCCCGACGAAGAGGAACCCTTCCTCTCTCAAAGTTACTAGAAACTCAAAACGTTGTCGTTTTTGTATGTATTTTCTCTTTTTTTTTTTTCTTTTTTTTTTTGTCATCTGAACAAATTTTTGACGTTGATAATCCAAATTGTATTGACAAAATTCCAAATTTGTATGATTTTGATTAGTCGTTTTTTTCTAAGATATTCGTAAGTGGGAAAATGTGTGATATATATATGAAATGTAAGTAAAACGTTACTATTTGTTTTGCTGCCAGAAGAAAGAAAAATATGAAGGTCAGTGATGAGTCAGTGACAATTGACAAAGTCCCATGTTTGTTTGTAGCCCTGTTTTTTTCCCCCTACCCTATACTTACATATTTTTTTCTTTCTTTCAGATTTATGTGTTCTGACCACTACATTTACTTTTAGGTCTGACACAGATATTTAATACTTCCAATAAGGCTGGCATGTAAATAGATCTTTTCTTCTCTGTAACATTAATGTATACGTTATGTGTAAATCACGAAATAGTCTCGTAGAAAGTATGCATATAGTATTGTGAGAAAGAAGAAAAGGGTTTAAAAAGTAGCAGGAGAGACAAAAACTTGATTGAAGTCTTTTCTTGTATGTGTTTAGTTGTGAATTGTTTTCTGAGTTTCCAAATCGAAGGGGTATTACTTCTTTTTTTTGCCGTGAGCTTATTGGCCCTTATAAAGTTGGAAATGAAAAGACAGACCCCTTTGGCCCATTTTTATTTAATGAGTGTGCTGTCTTTAATGTGTTTTTTGTTGCGACTGATTTTCAATTTTTTTTTCATTGATATGCTCTTTTTTTGTTCTTTCTATTTGTCTCTTTACTACTATTTTTTTTCTCTATCAGCATGATTTTGGATCAATCAAAGAGAGGCTAATTTTTCATAACTATGAAATAACTAGGTATTTTACTATTTATTGTGATGAATAGAGCAATCATAGTTTTTTTTATTAAAAAAAATCTACATGTATGATAAATATTTGAGCCATGTGACTATTGTTGGTTTGTTGTTTAGGTTTTTATTAAGCGACAACCAAAAGTTCTGTAAATATTATTTCTTCATTTCATGGAAATGATGTTTTATTTTCACTTTAAATTTGAAATAATATTTATTTATTTGTTCTTTTCTATCAAAAAGAAGATAATCATTTAAATTTGACATCTTATCATAAGCCAACAATTATATCCCAACAACTGGTAATATCTATCATAACAAACGATAGTTTTGATTGGTTTAAGTTGGGAAAACCTTACAAAGCATAAGGATGGGTTTAAGAAGCTTTAAGGTTTAAAATTTTTAATGATGCATCATGCTTTATATATGGGCAAAACAAGTGATGAAATATACCAAGTCTTTTCGTCTCAAAGAACTCTTTCTTTATAGCAATGGAGGGGAATAACTCTTTAGATGGATGACGACTATCTCTGTTTTGGCGGGACAAAACGCAAAAAGGTGTAAGGATTTTTGTTAGGACATCTATCTTTTAGTGGGACATTCTCTCTGTCAGCCAATGCCATGTTGTCCTAGCTAGCTCCTCAACGAGCCGTGAAGAGATTTGAAACTTATTTGTATCTTGAACTAAAGAGTTGTTGATCTATTCGGTATGATGATCATTTTGAATTAATCTTGTTAATTAGTCCTACCAAACCTACAAAATCATTTGATATGTTTCTCCAAGTCATCTCATAATTGGATGATCAATTGGGCTGGCATGAACTAAATATGGTTCTTAGCATTGTTAAGAATCTTGAGATTGAGAGAGCTCACAAGAGAAAAAATCTTTCCAATTCAACTATAGATTTTTCAAGTAAAGGACATGTTGTATCCAATATATATGTCGTTTTCGAATTGGTTTCATAACCATGTATAATTGAGCTCAATGTGTGTACGTCATCTTCGTAATATGTAGTTCAAAGTTAGAGAAATTACCATCTTTCGGTCTACAATGTGGACCACTTTGGCGTTTCTTGATGTTTTTTATTTAGTAAGGAGTCCTTACGAAGGACTTATAGAAGTGTTTCATCAAGATAAAAATTCATTTAGATTTATAGCTAAACACAGAAAAATGAGAATCAAAGACACCAAAACAAAAACAAAAAAGTTACTTATTCAGAAATTATATGTTTTACTTTCTAAATTATCATCAAAATGTTAAAACACTAAAACATCATTATACTATTTTAAGATTTTTAAAATTTGTTTTGATTTTGTGGACAAGAAGAAATGGTTATTTTTTAAAGTTGTCCCTATAATATAGCTAGCTAGCAGGGGGTACGTACCGTGCCTATGTGTTAAAATGTCAGCCGTATGTTGCATCGACATCATGGGGCCAAATCAACATCATAGTCAAATAATGGATACAGTCTTTTGGAAGATTATTCAAGTTTCAATTCTACTTAAAAGGTAAAAAAGAAGAAATATAGTGACCATGTCTATATGGACCAATACATATGATTTTATGGTTTGTGATAATGTTCTTGTTGTTATGTCTGTGGTCCGGTTACGTGTAAGATAGCAAACTCAAAGGCAATCAATATGCTCAGCTCAGCAATTCTACATTTTGTTGTATATGGCCTTTAGAGAGAAGATGAATTTTAGAATTCCCTCTACCAGCACAAAAAACCTGTAGGTCATGTCATATTATTAAGGAGTTTCAGCTCACAATAATCATCATAATTTGGATGCTTTCTCTTATCGTTTATTTCATATTCCTAGTATATTCGATGTAACTTTCAATAATAATTAAGATGAATAAAAAGTATTATTTAAAGAAAGAGAGTCTATCACAAAATAGAATTTGGTGTTTGTTATAATCTAATTTCAAGAAAAAGAAAACTTTATTGTTTTTTGGAAGAATATGTGATTAATCATGTGATATATCCAACGATGCAGTATAGTAGTAGACAAGAGCCGGAGAATCCTAGGTGACTAGAGATCCTCATACTCAAGTTTCCAAAACTAGACCTACTAGAGCTCTAGATCATTAACAAGAAGAATCAGGCCTTCAGCATATAAAAAATGAGATGATATAAGAGGTCATAAGTTTCTCTTTAGTCTCGATGAGTAACGTACGGTTTAGTAACATACGTTTAGTAGGCTTCACGGTTCAATTAGTGCCATCATTGATTTGGTTACTACAACTTTGAAAGAAAAATAGAAAAAAATCACTAACCTACAAGGTTGAAATTAGCTTGACGTCGAACGTAATCATTAGCTTGAAATTAAAGCGCGTAGGCAATAACCAAACTGAAGTGAAGAGATTGAATTGTTTCTCTTTACGGTAAAAAAAAAAAAACAAGAAAAGGGGATAAGAAATATAGAAAAAGAAGGTAAAAGAGAAAGAAGAAGGAAGGAACATAGAGAAGTGCAGAGAATCTACAGATGAAGTTGGGAGTGGTGGGCTGAGGTGCACGTGCTTAGGTTACGTCCGTACTGTCGCCATTGTACGAAACGAGACGAAAGTGGAATTTGTATCTTCTGGTACTATTGGTGCCCCTTCCCCAAAAGGCCAAAGCTACTTTCTTACAAATTACAATTTCTTATTTTTCATTATATATGTGTGGTCTATAACTACGTAAATCAAAAGGGACCCCAAGAAACTCAGTAAGACTGAGCGATGACAAAAAATATTTGGGGGCATTGGTCGTTTTATTGTCTACATCTTTATGTGTGTGTATATATATATCAAAACTAATGTCTATATATGGGTTTTCATTTTTTAGTGTTCATTTGGTATATGCCAGTGCCACTGGGAATATTTTGTTTCGAAAATAATAAAACAGTGGAAAGAAGTTGCTAGTTAGCTTGCTATTTACATTTTCTTAAATATATGCATTTTCTTAAAAAAACACACTTTCGATATTTTGGTAAAAGAATCAATCAATATCTATTGCGTTAGCTCTAGGCTCTAGCTGATACTACTCCTTTGGTTCCTAATCGATCCATGTTTTACAAAAAAAAAAAAAAAAATTATTGTTTCAAACCTCAAAAAAGTTCCATGTTTTTCAATTTTCTAGATGGTCTGATTTGTCCATTTTTCTAAATCTACCCTTATGATATTATTAATTTTTATATAACATTTAATAAAAGACTGCCACTAATATTTTACAACTATCAGACAAATAATTCACAAAAAAGTTATAATTATATGATTTGATAACATGTGATTGACCAATAAAACCCCTAACAATATATGGATTAAGAGTAATCGCTGATGGGTAGCCCAATAGATGATCAAATAGCCCAAAGAAAACGCGCCGTTTTTGTTTTTTTTGGAACACGAAAACGCACCGTTTTAATATCTATTCTTGGCGACAGCCTAATAATCAATATGTTCGCGAGTTGTGCGGGTGTCATCGTAACTTGGAGAATGAGCAAACATTTGCCGCTAATATTCATCTTAACTAGAGTTGCTGCAATGATTCGTTATTTTGTTTAATCGATTTATGTGATGAGTAGGTACTATCTATTCTGGTCTTCTATGGTCCATAGTCTACTTACTAGCTAAACGATCAGATGAAGCTACATGTGATTTTAAAGTGTGGACTTTATTATATGGAACAAATGAAACATTCTAAGCATTCAGAAGGTTTAAAGGGATGGGAACTTCAGAGGAAAAATCAAATAGGGAAACCAGTAAGAACAGAGAGAAACAGAGTGTACTTTTTTTGTCTTCATTTCTTTGTGTGTGAATCCAAGACCAAAAGAATGAACAGTTGTGAAATCATGCTACTGAAATTGAAAACTTTTTACTAGGTAAAAGAAACAAGGTTAGGGTAAGTTGATATAATTGCAATGGTGGTGAATGAAAGAAACAATAATAATCTTTTTATATACAGAATCAATATGTCAAATATATATATAAAATAACACTCCTAATACAGTTTGCTGAAGCCTGAAGTGATCCCTGAGTCTCCCAATCGCGGAAACAACACCTCTTTCTCAATCAAAACCTGGAGGTGCGAGGTTATCTTGCGGAATGACACCCACACGAAAGGTGCGCAACAAAATGCGTATGCGAAAACCGACAAGGCTCTAACCACTCCATCAGGGTACCAAGGGAAGGCCATGACGAGGAGTGTCCCTAGAATGCCGAGCCATGGAGTGAGAACAGGGATCGTTGGGAGGAGGAGAGTGTTGATTGGGATGGAGGAGAGAGCGAAAGAAGCCATCAAGTAAAGCGCCCAGCCGATGAGTGGGTGGATGGTGTGAGGGATAGTGAAGAATGGGAAGATGTAGGCTGCAACGACAGAGAGAAGTGCGATGAACTTGAAACCTGCTTGGATCACTGTTAAGTTGCGGTCAGAACGGCGATAACATAGTTTGGTTATGTTAGGACGAGCTAGTCGTGTGACCAATATGATTCCAAGGTAGAACATTGCTTGGATTATGACCAAAGGCATCTCTGCTGAGTACCTGTTGCAAAGATCACACATAGTATTATTAATATCAACCATTTTATTAGGGAATTTGAGAGGGAGTCATCATCATCTAAACTTTTAAAATTACCCTAAAGTGGTGCGGCGCTGTTCGTGCCATAAGAGACCTAGTGGGAGAACAGGCCATGACCACCAGTACCATGGCTTTAACCAAACAGCTCCTGGGAATGTAATCACACTGTTTGGTCCACAAGGTATGTTCCATCTTAGCTTAAGATCTGAGAGTATCAAGATAGAGATCATGTTATTACATTAGCCAAAATGTGTATATATTATAGACGAGATTATAAAAAGAGACTTACAGAAATAAGAAGCGTCCATTTGGTAGCCCAAGGGAAGTCTCAAGTGGCCACTAAGCACAGATCCGTTACTCGGAGGACGAAAGAGAGGCTGGTCGAGAAGATCAGAGAAGTAACTGACAAGAAAGCCTTGATCAGCTCCATCAGGATTTTTTCTTCCAACTTGTAGCTCATGAAGCATGTCCTTGAACACCTCCACTGATGGCTGCAACACGAAGAGGCCAGTGTGGAAAATGCAAGGGTTTATGAAGACCGCACAGAACCGTCCACACTGGAACAGCTCGTCTGTTTTCTTAAGGAAGAGATTATCGGCATCTAGCATGACCACACGGTCGTAATCAGACAGAGCCCAAGCGTAGAGCTTGTTCAGAGTAAGCTTGAATCTACTGTTGAAGTTGGTCTGTCTCCTGTACGGATTGTCCACATTTTCAACTCTCACCACTTTGGCTCCATCTTCCTCTTCCCTGCTCACACACACACGCTTGTTAGTATACATCCACACAAACACGCACATTCAGTTATTATGTACTTGTTTATGCATGTCAAGTCCAAGTGTTGCTAAAAATATATTATATAGGTTTTACTTTTAATTATCGGAAGTGCACCAAGGAACAAAATAAATTATTAGATAGGTTATGAGGTCGAGATGTAGACGTTATGGCATGATCTATACAGCAGATTGGCCGGTCATAATTTAATAATTTTGAATCAAAATAGCTCTTTCTTGTTTCCAAGAGGTTTCCATTTTTCACTCAAAGCGCTAAAGTCAAACAACTCTCCTTAAGCTATATGCTTTGGCATTCAATGTAATAAGATTTTATCGTCTTAGATGACTTCTACGCATGTTTTAACTTTTTGTTTTGGGTGAACTATTGGCTAAGGTATTTCACTAAGATCGTATGGAACATTTTTAAAGATTTTGAGAACATTCGGACCCTTGAGTTTTGGCCAAATCTCTCTATAGAGTCTAAATTGACAATAGACCTACATGTCTATTAAATATGTCCACAAACATTCTTTTGAAACTTATTAAAAATGCTAATCTAGTTAAAAACATAATATGAAGAAAACCAAAAGACGTTATTCAAAACTAGATGACAACCTAGAGAGTTTTTGAGCAATTAAAAAAAAATCAAAGACGCGTAGTCATATAAATGGAGTTAAATACGTGGGTCTAATAAGTGTCAACTACATATATCTACTTTTAACATTTTGATTCTCCCCAACTTTTGCTTATACAACTAAAATCGTTAGAAACAAAAAGAAAAGTTAATGTTTCAAAACTTTCATTCGAAGTCGTGAAGCCAAATCAAAAGAATATATAATTCTACCCAAAAAAAAAATATTGTCGAAGTAATAAATGATAGTATTAAAAACCTCCTAAAACATAGTCGGAGTAGTATTTTTTTCGTCTCGATAGCTTCTATGAATAAGGTGGTCGTTGTATCATTCGGACATTTTCTAATTCTATGTTTACTTCAATTTCTAAGAAAAAAAACAAAAATGAATGGGGAGTAGTGGAGGGTGCATCTGCCACCTATATAACTTCCTAGAAATATTTAAAAAAAAATATATACTAATGGATTGTTTATTTCAAAGTAATATTAGCAATTGGAAACGGACAGCGTTTTTATATAATGGTCGGAAGAGAGACTTACAAGGTCTGAACCCATCGGAGAGGGACGTCGAGAGAAGCGATGACGACAAGATCAGCTTCCACGTTGAGACTTCTCAACGATCTGACCAAGACACGAGTGGCCACGTAGAACTCGTAGTCTCTTGGCGTCCCCATGTACATCATCGTCGCGTAGGCGTTCTTGTGCTCCGGCCGCCTCGTCTTTAACCCACGATCTTGAACCTCCACGACCGCGTTTGATGTATCTATCGCCGTTTCTTGCGGCTGCTGCAGCAAAAGTTGTCTCTCTCGATACGCCGTCGTTTCAATAACAAAAAGTGGTAAAACCAAACACAAAAACAAAACCAAGCCTCTCTGCAAACCCATTCTTGATTCCTCTGTGCGCAATGTCCGAATTGCTAAAAACAAATCTGAAAGTTTTTTCTTTGAGGAAATGTGTAAACGCATACGCGTATATATATAACACAAATGTATCAAAGGGAGGGAGGGAGGTTTCTAGGAGACTGTGTAAGGGTTAAAAAGGTATAATGTTGATTGGTCAATGGCAAGTTTAGTGGAGTATCATAATATTTTCATTTTAAACTATAAAAACAAAAACTAAAGGTCGAAGCACCTAGCCACCTATAGATATACTTAAGTTACCTAAGATGAGTTTATTGCTAATTACTGAACATAATTATGAACTTTAATGGTACACTAATGAATTTTTGATACTTTCCATTTTTGGATGCAAATCCATATCACACCAATTGATTCATACTAGGACTATCTTTCGTATTGCTCGAGAACTATACATTCGTATCAGTTTGCAAAATAAATTTTGGAAAGCATTTATTGTAAATGAGGAATGTTTTGATTCCAGAATTTAAGGGTTTAGAAAGAAAAGAAATAAGACACAAACTCGCATACCATCTTTAGTCACATTTTTTCGGACTGAAAGAGAGAGAGAGAGAGAGAGAGTTGTAACGCTGTATTGGTCTGTACTCTGTAACGTACAATAATAATATGGTGAATTTAAGGTTTTGTTAAGAGTCATATTTGTTTAATAATTGAAAGCTGAGTTATGATTATTAACGAAAGTAACCGTATTATTTTATTTTTATTTTTTTATTCTTGGCAGCTAATATTTATGGATTTGGTCAATTTAGGACCATGTGACTGAGCCATTGTCCTCTTTGCAAGTTGTGTGTATTGTGTAATCTCATGTATAATTATAGTTCATCACTTAATTTATTTCAACTACATATCTTCTAAGTTATTAAAAGAATATCTCTATATATATATTGTAAAGTCAGTTTTGTCAAGAAACTCACAATCAAACAAGCAAATCATATAGTCTTGATCTCTCAAACTTGTACCAAGGAAATCATAGAGTCCATTAGTTCAACTGTTGAAGCCAATATGATTGCTCGAAAACGAAAGAAGTTAGACTTTGATTTGTTGTATGTTTTTACCCAAAAAAGACTTTTAGTTGTACGTAAGACACCATTTGACTACGTTGTATACAAATACGTATATACATTTTCAAATACATAATAAACAATCTTTTATACTTTCATATTGTACTACTACATGGACAAATGTGAAAAGAAAACATACAATACCAAAAAAAAAAACCATTATTTTGTATAGATTAGATAAAGATAATACCGTATACGTGGGTTTTGTATCATTAGATATTTAGATGTAGGCAGTAGTATTAAGAAAGAAACTTTTAAAAGTTTAAAAAAGAATATTAGGCGAAATAATATTATTCTTCTTTTAGATACAAACCAAAAAGATTAGACGAAATGGCAAAAGAAAGAGAGTAACGTTTGACGACTGATGTGATGATTTTTTTAAGTTTTGAGAAGGAAAGACACGCAACGACTTCTCTCGTGTTGTTGTTGTTGAAACCGCGTCGGTCCATTTTGTCCGAAAACTTGAAATGGTCTTTGAGATGCTCACAACCTCTTTCCTCTGTTGACTTCATATATGTATGTGTGTAATGTAAAGTGTTTGGTTGTATTTAGGAAATGATTGTTTTGTGGGTCGAGATGAGTTCGTAGCTATAGCTGAGGCCTTCTGGACATTTCAGGCCCATTAATGAAAATGGGGTAAAATTGAACAAATTATTAATTAAGGTGTCAAAAGTAGAGTTTATGTAAATACTAGGGATGAAAAAGGGAAAGAAGAATGGACTTGGGATTCAAGCAAGGGTCAAAGAGTCAAAAGCGAGCTAAGCCGAGAGAGCAGCGGTGTCAAGAAAACCTCATCCGCCGCAAAAACCCTCTAAAACCCTCCGGCGCCGGAAATATATTTTCCTTATTATATCACTTTCCTTTAATTCGATTCATTCACTGAAGCGATTGAATCTTAAACGCAATGATGGGCGAGGAAGCAGCACCGACTGGGCCGCCCAACAGAGAGCTCTACGCTCTCCTGAACTTGTCACCGGATGCCTCCGACGAAGAAATCAGGAAAGCTTATCGTCAATGGGCACAAGTCTATCACCCTGATAAGATCCAATCTCCTCAGGTTTGCTTCAATCGATTTGCTCTATCAAATTTGTTTTGTTTCCAATTCGTTTTTTGATCTTCTTGTTTTGATAATTGTATCCGTCTGCTTCAATTTGGCTAATTTACATAAAGGAATTAGCTTTTAGTAGTGGGCTGATTTCCAATTTTGTGGTTAGATGAAAGAGGTGGCTACGGAGAACTTCCAACGCATTTGTGAAGCATACGAGATATTGTCGGATGAGACAAAGAGGCTAATATATGACTTATATGGTATGGAAGGCTTGACTTCAGGGTTAGAGCTTGGTCCCAGGCTGAGTAAACCTGACGAGATCAGAGAGGAGCTTGAAAGGATTAAGAGGAGAAACGAAGAAGCTAAGAAAATGGCACATTTCTCACCCACTGGTTCTATTATCTTCAATTTGTCTGTCCCACATCTTTTAGGCGGTGACGGTATCATGAGAGGGTACTTACCTTGTTCCTCTTTTCAAGTTTTGATGTCGTTTTGGTAGCATAGTTCTTGATGTGGGTGCCCAACTTGGTTTTAGAGACACTTAGTAGTCTGGATTTTTTCTTTCAGTTTTCTACTTATGTAGCTGTGTGTATCAATTCTCGTGTGTGTGAATTTTGGGTGCTCTACAATAGCCTTGACTACTTTGTCTGCATTTTGGTTTTTGATGCCTTTTTTATTATTATTTTGTGCTTGCATCTGCAACCGTCAGAATGGTTATGGCTAGTCAAGTGCAGTCTCAGTTGTCAAAAGATGATGCTATTGCCATTGGTGGAAATTTGGCGGCCAATGAAAAGTCTGGTGGTGGAATTGCTACTGCTATTCTGAGGCGTCAGCTTTCTCCAGTGTCTTCTATTGAGTTTGTCGCTTCAACGGGTTTGCAGTCGCTTATTGGAATGCAGACAACACGGTAGGCTATTAGTTTTCCAGTTAAATTTATTTCTGACCATCTTTGATGGTTAATATGGTTTAAATGGGTTTCTTGTCGGGGCAGTCAGTTAACCATACATTCAACTGCGACTATCAATATCTCGAAGTCTTTGAGTGATGGTTCCATTAATCTTACCAACACGTGGACTAGACAGCTTTCAGAAACTTCAAGCGGAAATGTATGTTCACTCTGTTCTGGTTTTGAATTTGACTTTTTACGAAGGCAAGAAAGCAGTTTTCGTGATTTTCATATAGTTTTCCCCCTCCAGATTGAACTGGCGCTAGGTATGCAATCAGCAATTACAGTTGGATGGAGAAAGAGAGATGAGAATATATCTGCTGCTGGTGACTTTAAGGTACGCTGACTGCCAACATGCCTTCCAACTGTTCAACCTCGACCCTCTCTCTTACTTTCTTTAGTATGATCTTGCTTTACTAGATTGAATCTGGTGGACTTGGAGCATCAGCGCGTTATACTCGTAAACTTTCATCCAAATCTCACGGTCGCATTGTAGGCAGAATGGGAAGGTATGTTTTACTGACACATGATCGCAATGTATCATATGCAAGAGCAGGAGGATGAAAATCCTTTTTGTATGTAAATCCTTTTTTTTTAAGTGTCGTTACATGTGTGGCATCAATATAATCATTTGACTTGGGATAAAAATTTCAACTTTTTTAGCAATGCTCTTGAGATTGAGGTTGGTGGCGGAAGGAAGATTTCTGAGTTCAGTACTGTAAGAATGATGTATACAATAGGAATCAAGGTAACTATTCTTTAAACTTTAAGAGTCATCTCGCTATTATGCAATCTGCTTACTGCTGGTATTTTTATACTTTTGCTGTAGGGTATTTATTGGAAACTAGAGCTACACCGTGGTGGCCAAAAGCTGATAGTTCCTGTGAGTGTTAATTTCTTCCTTTTCTTTTCTTGCGGTGTCATCTCTGCTGTTCTTCAGATAAATATTAGAACAGATTGTGTTTTAAGCTCTGGAGTAGAATGTATTAAAAACTACAAACCAACAGAACCTAAGAAGTAAGAACAATCCAAGCGTAGGCATGGATTCTAGACCATCATCCTTGACTCTTTTAAACCCTAAAACCATCTCAATTATGACAAAAATCGACATCTGTATTCTGAGGAAGTCTTTCAATTTTTACACCTTAACATATCCATGATGGTTATCTTTTAAACGTGCAGATTCTGCTCTCCTCTCATTTAGCTCCAGTATTTGCAACTGGAGCATTCATTGTTCCAACATCTCTTTACTTTTTGTTAAAGGTGAGTGTTGGACCCTATATATAATTCATACTTTTGCTATCTAGTTATAAGGTTTGCCTGATTTAAACATTTTCCACTGCTCCACACAGAAATTTGTGGTTAAGCCGTATTTGCGTAAAAGGGAGAAACAGAAGGCCTTGGAGAATATGGAGAAAACTTGGGGCCAGGTGATAGTTATTACGAGTTTGGTAGTCGAGCAAGATTCATTTTGAGTTTATGGTAGACGATCTTATCATGTATATATATTTTTAAAATTGTTGGTTTTAGGTTGGGGAAGCAAGGGCAGCGGCTGAGAAAGCCCAGCAATTGTTACAAAACGTAGCCACAAGGAAGAGAAACCGGCAAGTTGAAACAGATGGGCTAATAGTTACGAAAGCATTGTATGGTGACCCAAAGGCGATAGAGAGAAGGCACGAAGGAGTGGAAGGAGTTGATTCGGGAGTCATTGACGTGACAGTGCCCATGAACTTCCTTGTGAGTGACTCAGGGCAGCTGAGGCTTCATGAGGGAGTGAAGAAATCAGGGATCATGGGATTTTGTGATCCCTGTCCGGGCCAACCTAAGGAGTTATACGTTGCATATACTTGGCGTTCTCAGACATTTGAGGTAGCAGTTGGTGACTATGATGCGTTGAGTATACCGCAAGAAGGCCAGTGAGTATGAATGGTACACTCCAGTCTCAACTTTGTTGTTTTTATAAAAACAAAAAGATTTGCTTCTTACGGGGAGTTGTGTAGTACGTGTTACATAACCTCAAATTTTTACATTTGTTTCCTTCTCAATAAGTTAAGCATTCTTGTTTGCCGTAAGCTTTGATTGATTAGTCGTGTGTGGTGCCTTTGTTAATTAGGTATCAATTCTCTTTCATGAATTATTTGTTGTGACGGTAATTTTGTTTTAATAATTTTTATGAAAATACAACATATTGGAAAAGAAAGAGAACTATGTAGCTTGAATATTATGGTATAATACCTCAGGATACTAATTACTTTGTACCAACCACTATAAATAAATTAGTGTGATGACATTTTGTAGTGTAAGTGAGAGAATTTTATAATGTGGTTGGACGTAAACAAAGCGAGAAAATGGAGCGAAAGAAGAGGTTAAGAGGTCGAAAGAAGAGGTGTTTGGTGGTGTTTTGAGAAGGAGTTTGAGAGACAACGACGTCCTTGACTTGTTGATGATGAGTAACCAGACGTGCCCTGAAGTCGCCTCGTGCCATGACCAGCTTCTTCTTCAAATCAACTACGTATTCTTCGATTCCTGCCAGATCATAATCCCAACTTTTTTTTATGGTCAAATAAATACATACGTCCAAATGATTTCGGTTTTACAAAATCGATTATGACAGATGATGCTAAACCCGAAGGTAGCAGCCAAGAAATTATAGTTTTAAAGTATATATTCAAAGAGCCTTGTGGGTTTTATTTTTATTAGGAAAACATGTTTGGTGATGGTAGCACGTAGAAGAGAGCTCACCGGTCATCTTGGAAACAATCTGAGAGACTCTGTCTTGACAACGGACACATCCCACATCTGCGTTTATCTCTATAATTTGAAACTGATTTGTATCTCCAAGTTAATACAGCATTTGTTCTTAAATAATACTCATCCACTTCTATTGGTGACCACTTTTTACCCTCGAGTTAAATCTTTCATATTACTTCTAAAAAAAACATGTTGAGTTGACTATTAAGAAGTACATGTACATTTTTTCATATTTATTGTGAAAACAAAGAGAATATAAAAATTAGTGGATGATCGAACAAGAAGTCAACAACAATGGTTTTATTTTCATCCAACACAATTTACAGAGACTATAACGCAACCAATTTTAAAAAATAACAAGAGAGCTCCGATTTTGAATATGAAAATGCATGAAATGATTGATAGAAGCTAAACAAAAGAATGGTAAAGAGAAACTTATGTAGCTTAGATAACACATACCGATGGAACTGAGAGTTGCTCGCAGAGAATGAGGGTGCGCCGCCGCATCATCGTCTCCTTCATTTCAGACAGAAGGCAGAGCCAGGCCCTGACTTGCTATAAACGTATGGACTATATATTTTATATATGTAAGCTGAGTAGAGGTCTGTTTATATATATTTTAATATTTCTAGGTTTATAGCTGATCAGACATGGAGGCTTTGATAATTTTCTAAGAAGGGAATGTATGTTTTTGTATGTATTCAAACAAAGATTCAACTTTTTTTTTTTTATAATTGAGAAGTCCCATCCTTACACGTTTCACCCACAATCTCTATATAATATGCAATAGACTTGAAAACAACCAACAAAAAAGGTTGGTGCTAAAACAATAAGCAAGTAGTAGAATTAATAACAAGTTTCCAACATAGCAAACATTTACGTTGAGGTACATTTTAAATAATTTTACAGAAGAAATATGGAGATGGCAATGAAGAGATAGACTCAGTCAGATGTTTGTTTTGAAAATTAGAGAATATAAATCTGAGTTTATGGGTTATACAAAAGAGATTTGGTAAGAAAGGAGAAAAAGTCAATACATGTTAAAGCCACCATTGAACTTTTTGGTATTTTAATACACTAGTTTTAATACCATCCAATTATTATATGAACAGAATACCAAAACTCTGTAGATGAACAAGAACAAGTAGTTGTCTCTATAAGTTATATATGAATGAAGAAAGATTGTAACCGAACAAAACAAGGTGTAGACGGTACAAGTCTTATTAGAAAACATGGCATGATAATAAGCAAATTCCTGTTCTGATCTAGCCATGGCCACTGGAAAGCTACAGAATCAAAACAGTGAATCTCTCTGAGTAAAAGAAGAAGAGTTATGTATGACCTTTAATCATAAATAATGTAACCAAGATGTTTGTTGGCTAAAGCTGAAGTGAAGTTATTACATCTTGAGCAAAAGAAAAAAGAAAAAGTATACAACACTGATGAGTTTAGTGAGTAAGTGATCAAAACAAAGAATGAAAGCTACAAAACCAGCAAGCCACCACACCACCACTGAGGACTTCCATGGGATCCCAGAACATGTATTCTTAATCAAGCTTGCTTGTGAAATCAAATCTCTGCAACAAATGACAGAGTTAACTAAACTATGCTTAACACCTCCACATGCTTCTCTCTACAGCTCACCCCCTTCACCTCACATTCCAATCCTTCTTCTATTAACAGAGACAAACACTGTTAGACCAAAAGCCTTTGCATTTTTAAATCATGAATTCTACAAACAAACGAGATTTCTTAGAGTCAATGTAATAAACAGAAATTTCCGATCTCAACTCTAATTCAGAGAGTAAATCAAATAAGAAAGCTTTAAGATTCCCAAAATTCAATAAGATACAGAACGATCACGATTTCATAAATTTCTTCAATTTCCCAAATTCAATAAACCCTAAAGAAGTTTCATAAAACGAAAGAAATAGAGAGAGATTGGTGTGTAGTAGTAGTAGTACAATGAAGAGATCATTGGGGATCGTCTTTTTTGGGTTTGCGGTAGTTCTCCTCGACGTGCTTGGCGACAACCATACCAGTATTAGTGAGCTTCCGAATATTAGGAACGTTGTAGTTCTGAGCCAAGTATACGCCAAAAGCTGATCCAACAATGAACGAGAAACAGCTCTTGATTATTCCCATTCGATCTCTTTCTGCAACTCCTTCTCCGCAAGTTTCAGGTCAACAACTACAGTAACAAAGACGATTTCGCAGGGTTTCTTTTATTTGGGAATTCCTTGTACGACGTCGTTTTACACTCTTGATTTTGGACTTGTAAAATAATTTAAAAATTTACATCTTCTTCCTAGTTTTCTTCTCAGAATTCAGAAATGGCCCAATTCTAAATAATTCCATCTTCCTCCACCTCCTCCTCCCCTCTATCGTCGAAAATGGCTGATCACTGCTTTGACAGGTCTCTCTCTCTCGTTATCTACGTAAAAAAATTTGTTTGATCCTCAGGCTTTCAGATATTGTGGCTATGTTTGGCTCATTTTATTGTTTTTTTTTAAGTAGAATTGCGAATTTAGGTGGATGTGTATATCTGTAAACACTCATGTAGGCTAATTGTATCTGACTGAGCTATATAGCCTATATGGATGCTTCGGATATAGTTACAAGTTTCTCAAAAATTTTACTTTTAATTTCTGATGATATACAGCAGCTATTCACTGGTGTGCAATGGAGGGGGAACTGGGAAGAGCCTTTTGGATGCAGAACCAATTAAAGGTTACCACTTTCTACATACTATTACTCCTCAATTGATTATTCAACTTTTTGTTTTTAGTTTTTAGAAGCAATCTTGATCTGTCTTTCGAAATATATACATGAGTTCTGCTCTTCTGTAACCTCTTAAGCTACAAACTTGTATGTGTTGTTGTTTGGCTTTGCAGCCAGAAGCCAAAACTACTAAGGCATCTCCACTTCACTGGCCTTGGTCGTCAGCCGGAACAAACTAGCTTAAACACTTCTTCTAGCAACTTCTCCACTTCTTCAAACTGAAGCCCTTTAGTCTAAGGCACAAACAGACTGATTAAGAACAGCCCGAGGACTCTGCAAAGAGAAGGCCTTGAAGGATTTAACTTGAGGCACAGGTTTATTACAATTCTCTGTTGACTGGTAAAATTTTGTTACGGGTACTTATATTGATGATCATACACCTTCTCTGCTCTTGACTTAAATGAAGAGTAAGATCTCCCTCTCTTTCTCCGTTCCTGTCCTAAGTTGTTATGTATAGGATGTTGGTTTAACTTAAACGATGAATGAAGCTGGTTTAAAACCAAAAACTATGAGAGGTAGAACAGTTACGCAATCGAAGATACGAAATATGAAAATTTTCCAAAAACAAGATTTAATATTAGCTCAGTTTAGATTGTGAAATCGTATAACCTCATATACAACACCCATACATACACATCGCCACAAAGCTAATACGAAGATATAGGATTAGGAAACGAATGTCATCATCAAATCAAATACAAATGTCAACAACCAAAAAGGCTCAGAATAATATGGGTTAGAGATAATTATCAGCACTAAGATCAGAGTGGTGCATGACATTCTCGTTCATCATTGCCTCTACACTTAAATCGAAAAGAAAAAAAAATCAAGAAAGCCTCAGAATAGAAGTATCAGCAAGACTTCAAGAGAAGTCAATCAGTCCCGAAAGATGGTGTTCTTTTATAATCTGATATCTTCATAGGCTACTAAAACGCTAACTAAACCATAACTAGACACTAAGAGAAAACTTGAAAAGACAAGAAGAGACAAAATATAGAACTCATGGCCGGTCCCAAACGGTAAAAGCAGCAACGCCGCTCCGCAAGGCAATGGAATATGAGAGCCATCAGCAAATGCCAAAGACGGAGAAGCCCTAAAGCTCCATCAACGTCATAAGGCTTACCCTATTGCTCTGTGACGCATACTATTGGATTATGCAATCACAAAGTTTCAGATTGCTCCATCATTTTAGCATCAGATTTCTTGGAGAGAAATCTCGTCACTGTCTAAGAACATACACAGACAATACACCTCAAACAAAGGAGGGGGCATGATGTGTATACTATAATCTGATATACTCATAGATTACTAAAACGCTAAGTAAACACTAATGAAAGAACTTGAAAAACAAGAAAATACAGAATATAGATCTCATGGCAGGTCCCAAACGGTAAAAGCAGCGACGCCACTCCGCAAGGCAATGGAATATGAGAGCCATTAGCAACTGCCAAATACGGAGAAGCTCTAAAGCTCCATCAACGTGCTAAGGCTTGCCCTATTGCTCTGTGACGTATAACTATTGGATTATGCAATCACAAAGTTTCAGATTGCTCCATCATTCTAGTATTAGATTTCTTGGAGAGAAATCACGTCAATGTCTAAGAACATACACAGACTAAACAACCAATGCACCATAGAAAAATGAATACTTCTCTCAGGCAACCAAAAGAATGGAGAAAGAGGAGGAGGTGATGAGAAGCAAGGAGGGGGCGTGGTGTGTATATATAATATTAGGGAATCGGAAGCCCTAGAGAATCACACCGTATTGGCAAGAAATCAACCGACGGTCCAAAAATGGAAATATACTATTTAAATTAGCTTTAGCTATTTTATACTTAGGTAGTTGTGTTTCTATTTTATTTGATCCGTATCCAAACCTAAGTTAAATTTATTGAACCAAACCGAAACAAAATTTGGTTCTAAGACGTATTTTCTTGTAAATTTGTAATTGAATTTGCAAAACCGAATCAAAATTACCACGGGTATACATTAGTGACTAGTGTGAGGAAGAGGTTGGTTAAACGGTACGTTCATGGTTACATAGTCGACGTCCAAACTAATGGATATTTTAATGTTCTAGATGTGGACGTGGTAATGAAATGAGTCCCTCACATTGTCTATTAGTATACTTGAGTATGTCCCTCGCATTGTCTATTAGTATACTTGAGTATGTCCCTTCCATATTGGAGAGAACCGATGAATGTGTTCTCAGCTACCAAAGTGCCTTGCTAAACTTCGTATTGTATGGTTTATATTGGACAGTCTACAAGAACAAGGTTGTCCATTATATGATTTCTGCAGGAACTGAGTTTACAAGGGAGGTCAACTCTTCTCTCATAGTATTTTTTGAAAATTTAATGATTCTGGTTAACCTTTTAAAGTGCGAAGACAAAAACTGGAGTGAGTCTTTTTGCTATGATCACGTTTTTCTACTGAATTGAAAGAATGATTTATTGATTGATTCTGAATAGACAGAAGCCAAGGTCATAAATATTTCATTGATAATAAAGGTAATTTCATTACACATTGCGATTCATCAAAATGTTACACTGATACAAAAAGTTGAACCGTATCCACAATGTAAAGACATAGCTACGGAAAGATCTCGTCCCGACATCCAAATTGAATCTTCAAACTATCCGGCAAACAAACACATCCATAACAACAGAAACATCAGCAATACTTCCAGCAAAGAACCTGCGTCAACTGCGAAAATCTCAAAGACAAACAAAATCAATGGGTAATGAATAACCATCAGGACCAAAAGTAATCATCAAGAGCAACAAAGCTATACAGTCCGCATCAAGGTCAAGTCTATAGACCATCATTTGGTTATCATCACCATTCCGAATCTCAATTACAAAACAAAATGAAAAATTTAACAAAACAACAAGGCTCAGAGAAAATATGGGTTAGAGATGGTTATCAGCACTAGAATCAGAGTGGTGCATGACATTCTCGTTCATCACTGCCTCTTTAAACAACAAAAGTTTGTAAAACAAAATCAATAAAGCCTCAGAATTGCAGAAGTATCAGCAAGACTTGTAAAAGTCAATCAGTCCCGAAAGATGGTGTTCTTTTATAATCTGATATCCTCATCGGCTAACTAAAACTTAAGGCAAACACTAAATAAATATAGAGCTCATGGCCGGTCCCAAACGGTAAAAGCAGCAACGCCGCTCCGCAAGGCAATGGAATATGAGCGCCACGGTAAACGCCAAAGACGGAGAAGCCCTGAGGCTCCATCAACGTGCTATAGCTTACCCTATTGCTTTGTGACGTATACTATTGGATTATGCAACCACATTTTTCAGATTGCTCCATTCTTTTTAGTATCAGATCTCTTGGAGAGAGATCTCGTCACGTTACTAATTCTAAGCTTAATCAAACACATCAAAACTTTAAAGACATAAACTAAAATATAATAACCTAGGAGAAAATTCTTAAGGAATCGTAAGAGAGGTGATTTGGTGAAGAAGAAGAGATGAGGATGAAAGAGTTGCGTGGTATGTATTTATATCAAGTATATTAGGGTTTCGTGAAGCCCTAGTCACCGCTTACCATCACGGGCTTTTTGTTAGTGTAAAGCCCAGTTTAAATGTAAAAGGGCCCAACTAAAGCCTGAAAGTTTCTACTCGTTTTGCAATTTATCGAATGTGTTTCCATCAGGGCCATTAGACCGACAATGTGGTTCTAGTCAGTTCCGTGTTAGGCAGGGCTAACATGCCATGTTGTATATGTTCTCTTTGCAAGTTATTAAGGTTTTGCACATGTAAGCTTACTAGTCCCATGTCAGACTTGTCTTATGTAATGTGTGGGTCTCATGCAGTTTCACCCATGCTTATAAGTTATAAACTATGTGATCAATCTCATAGTTAATTTTGATGTATCCACTATTCTCTTACCACCTATAATTACAAAAGATTGATAAAAACAAGCACAAGAAGACTCTGTGAAGTGTGAACCAATACTTAGTACATACTAATGTGAGCTATTCGGACGCATTGTTACACCTTTGAATTTTTGATGATCTATATTATTCGTAATGATTTACTGTTTAAGAAGTCTTAGGTGTCACCAATCTAGTAAAGGGTTACGGTGGAAACAGAAAACTATCATTACACACGAAAAAGGACTTTAAACCAACCCCATGCATGATGCACCACACCACTTCAATAGTTCACCAACCCACTATATATTGGATACACCGTCTCAATTAGTCACAGCTAAATCCCATTTTTACATGGCTTTGTAAAATTTATAAAATAACTATAATTTCATCAATATGACACATGAAATTTGTTAGTCTAACTAAACGATGGTAATTATTTAGTGATCATCATTTTAAAAAAAATCTCTAACTAAATAAGTTACGGTAATTAATCGACTTTCTTAGACGTAACATACCAGCAAAAACCTTGTTAACTCTAAAACTTATCATAATCTTCTGTATGAAAAGTCATCAGAAGCACAAATTTTCCTTAAAAAAATAGACGTTGACGTAAACTTTAGCTAACTCACTCCTCGTAATTCACTTTCACCCTCTAAGTCTCCATCTTACATTTAATAATTTCGTGTACCCTTAAATGCTCTAAACCCAACCATATCGTTTCATTTTCTCTTCTAATATATCCCACAACAACCCTCTAGCTAGTTTAATATTCTTATATACACACACGTAGTGATGGGCAATGATCATGGTTTAGTGTGAGTTCTATGAACATACATCGTCCACGCCATCTCACACGTTCGTTTGATCATACATGGTCAAACCCAATAACCCATCACATGAACTAATACAAATGATTGTGTGACCAAAAATAAACTATACATATAACAAACGATAAGGGATAGAGATAGTCACGGGTACCACTAATTTGTAGGTACTTGATTTCAACTCTACACCTTCTCTGAAATTTTTGCAATTAATTACATTAATTACTCTTTTTTCTATTTAAGCCACTTGTTGCTTTAGACGGAGAGAGTTGTAGCAATGCAAAGCTGCTGCTACTGCTAGCCAACTAACATCAAACCAATATTTTTTTGTTTCTATCTAACAGTTTCTCTCAATTCTCACTAAAAGTTTCCATCTTTCATATATACAAATCAAAATTAGGGGCAAAGATGAGTTATATAGGAGTCGGAATCAGTCCAAGAAACGTCGCCGGAACCGGAAGTACCAAAATGAAGCTGATTGATCGGAAAGTGAGAGTGGCAGAGTTGATTCTGAGGTGTTCTGTTTGTGCCCTCGCTCTTGTCGCTGCGATTCTCATTGTTACAGACGTCCAAGTGAGAGAGATTTTCATGATCAAGAAAAAAGCCAAATACACCAACATGAAGGCGCTTGTGTAAGCTCCTGAGACAAAGAACCCTCAGTTTTTTTATTTCTAAAGTTCAAAACTTTAGCGATGATCTTTCTTCGAGTTTTCAGGTTTATGGTGGTCGTTAATGGGATAGCCGCGGGTTATTCTTTGGTTCAGGCGGTTCGTTGCGTGGTGGGTTTGATGAAAGGAGACGTTTTGTTAAGTAAGCCTCTGGCTTGGGCCATTTTCTCCGGCGATCAGGTGACTCTGTTTTTAAACAATCGCTGTTTCTAACATTCTCTGTTCTTGTTTGCTCTGGTCAACTATTAATAACTACTAAAAAGGTGAATAGTCTTTAGTTTGTTGTGAACTGTTGGGTCAGTGAATTCAAAGAGTCTTACCGTATGAGTTTCATTTGTTTGGTAGGGTACACAAATTTATTGGATTTAGGTTGGAATTTTTCATAAATGTCGATAGTGAATAACTGATTAGGAATGTTGATGATATTTGATGGTCCTGCTAAATAAAAGCATTGAAATTGACCTGGTTAATGTATTCTAGTACTTCACATAGGTTTTTGTATAAGTGACATTGTCAATGACCTTGTTGTTATGTTTGTATAAGCAGGCGGTATCGTACTTGTGTGTGGCGGGGGTTGCAGCAGCGGCGCAGTCTGCGGCCTTTGCAAAGCTGGGTGAGCCAGACCTTCAATGGATGAAAATATGCGGTATGTATTGGAAGTTCTGTATCCAGGTAGGTGAAGGAATAGCCAGTGCCTTGTTCGCTTGCGTCGGAATGGTTTTGATCTCTTGCATCTCGGCTTTCGGTGTCTTCCGTTTATATGGCGGAAGCAAAACCCGGCAAAGCTCATGAAGGCCTGTATTGGGTGGTTTTGGACCTACCTTGTTTAGTTTAAAGAACTCGTGTGTTAATGTTGTGGTTTGTGTTCTCTTATCTTAGTGTGTATACTGTCTATTACTACTTTCACCACAATCTCAAGCTGCTCTATAAATGTAATCATCATTTCATCACAATTTGGTTGGTTTGTATGGATCACGTGTAGCTTTTTTAAAACACAAACAATGACAATGTTTTAGTCTATTTTTGGTTTGAGTTGCGTAATAACCAAAAACAGGAATTTCATCTCATCCAATGATTAAACTTGAATTTCATTTATCTCATTCTCATCAAAATAATCACCTCTGGCCAAAACTAATAAGTTATATATAGATATAGCCAGGAAGATGCAAGTTATATATAGACTCATCACGGGAATGTTTATGCTTTTACATTTTGTTCTCTCAAATAGTTTATATAAGGCACAAATTTTAGATAGTAAACTATCAAACAAAGAAAGAAAAAGAAAGAAGAAGAAGAAGAAGGATCGACGTTTGCAGAACGGATATGGAGAAGAAGGTGGCATTGGTGATGGCATTGATGTTGCTTATGTCTACGTTGGTTTCCGCTGAGGAATCACCATCGATTGGACAGAGGATTGACTCTGCCGCAACCAGCGTTTCCACATTCTTCAATGACCATGCCCGTCCTGCCGTCGAATCCGTCACCTCAGCCTTCGAGTCAGTCACCTCCACCTTCAAATCCGCCTACGACTGGTTTCATGATAGAGCGAAGTATGTTTTCTAAATCTTTCTCCTTTACTTTCTAATTTACATATTACTTTAACGTTATGCAATTGCAATGCTGTCTTTCTTGTTGTTGTAACGTTTAGAAAAGTAAATAATATTTCCATAACTATGTTTTGTTTATAATTTGTAGGGATTTGGGACTCTAAAAGATCTGTAATCTGTTTATGAGCGAAGGAAGAGGTTTGAAAACATTTTCAGCGATTACAGTTTCATCTCCATGTACCACTTTATTTAAAATTAAAATTATAAGAAAAAAAAGTTGTATATTAGTCTTTTTAACAAGTATACAACTACACATAAAATGAAAGCACAGAAACAAATCAAACAAATAGCACCTATATCAATACAACAAGCAGATAATAATGATGTTTACAAAATTTACGAAATTTGAAAGAAGAAAAAATGTAATCAATTAAGAGGAAGAGGAGGGAAGAGAGTGGTTGGCAAGGAAGTGGGTGAAGAGGAAAAGAGCGAAACGAGGCTGAGATAACGGCACCTCATGCCCCGCGGTTCTCACCGTCGCGTACGTTAGCAAGCCATCCTCGTAAACCTGACTCCATCCTCCTACTTGGCCTTGTGAATGGTACCATGGATACCACCTTTTGCTGCTCCTCAATCTCATCGCATTTATCGAATGCCTCGTCCCACTTAGCGGCAAAACTGCGTCCGAGTCCCCACTATAAAATATTTAAAGGTTTAGAAATCTAAGATATAACAAAACATATACATGATTAAAAAATAAAAAACTATACCTGAAGATCCAAGTGCGGAGATGAGCTTGAAGAAGATTCTTGATAATGGGAAGCATGGATTTGGGTGAGTCTTTCCAATTCTTTCGTATCGCACGACTGCAAGGGGTCCAAGGAGTACTGCGGTTGAGGCGGGCATGGAAGGATTTGTGTACGTTGGGATCGTTCATATACTTGCGTGTGTATCTTACAACACACTCATCGTTCCCTCTAAATCGCCAAGCTTGCGTCCACTCGTTTGATGATGATTGCGTGGTGCATGCAGGGATATTGATGTTGTAAGGGTCGATGTCACCAAACTCAGAAAAGGCTTGGTTCAAGGCGGCGTTGCAGTTTGGTTTGGGGAAGAGGATGCTGTCGTTGAGACACCATTTGGTCAGGTCCTTATAGCTTTCGTCTGATATAAGCCCGTGGTTCCACCAGTAGTCACGCATCCCTTTGTTGTCATTGTAATCGTCCACGAGAGGATTCCCCATCTTTAATTTTATAACAATATACAAATCATTCATTCAAGTATTCAAAAGATTCCTAAATGTGTATAGAAAATAAAATCCTTACCAGAATCCCTTTTAGATTGATGATGGGGTTTTTGACACCCTTGTTCCGGTTGACGATCAGTTGAGCTAGCTCCGGGATATAATGGCCTACACAATATAATCACCAAATAATATCGTACGTTAGTAACCATCAAGCATATCACCCGTATGTATATAGTCCACTCATAACGATACAATCTTCGTATTCATATGGTGTTTCACTAGTCAAGATTCAAGAACACTTTGGTCATAAAAGAAAAGTCAACTGGGTTGTTGTTGATCTTTTCTTCTTGTTACACATTTTACAAAACCATTTATTATTTCTCTAAAATGATAATTTTCCTAGTCTTTTCCAAATTTTTTCAAAGAGATTTCGGTTGATTCGTAATTGTAATTGTCACAGATTTTTTTTTTTCCTTTTTTAAGTTGGGAATATCTGGTTTTTAAAAATGCACATGCATCGTGCAAAACAATATACATGTATGGACGGGAAGTGCATATCGTGTCCTATGGGCAAACAGTTATATCAATATATTAAAATTATCAAGTCAACAACCAAAACCATTTGGTTCAACTGCTTAATATTTGTAGAAGAATCTCACATGACTAATATTTATTAAATAAAAAATGTAACAGTGAATATGAAGGAAGAGAAGAGAGTACGTACCAGCGTAGCTCTCGCCGGCGATGTAAAAAGGCCTTTCCTTATACTCAGGGAACCTCTCCATCCATCTCACCAAGAATCTGTATGCATCCTCCCCTGTTACTCACATCACATTTGGGTTTATATTAATTAATAATAATGTTATAAGTACTAATTGTGACATTTTCATCATTGTAATTATGAAACTACATAGTACCTGTCCTCTTGTCTCCCACGGTTAGTTCGTCTGACGAAGTGTTTGTGTAAGAGAAACCTACTCCCGCCGGTGAGTCCAAGAACAACACATTTGCCACTGCACAACAATATTATTCATTGAATTATGAAATTATGATTACGAACAAACTTGATAGTAGAGAATTTGCTAATCAACATTAAAGATTATATAGAGTACCTTTGTTCCAAGCATAGATATTAAGACGAAGAGTCTTTCCGTCCGGATTAACCCGAAAGGGACCAATCTCCTCAGAAGCACCGTAGGCAATGGAAGAGCATCCTGGACCACCATTGAGCCATAGGACTAACGGCTTGGTGCCGCTCGGCCTAGGGGCTTCGGTTAACCAATAAAAGAGAGCACGTCCAGCCGTTGAGTCAACAGTGACGTAGCCAGAGAATTGAGAGAAATTGAGGTTAGGAGGTTGGCCTGGCAAAGAGATGATCTTGTCCTTCATCTTTTGCACCTTATCTCCATCATCGCTACTACTTACTTGGTCTAATAATGCAATCACCATGCATACTAAAAACACACATTGATATTGTTTTTTTGTGATCATCATCAAAGAAAGAGACTGTTTAATTCTTTCTTTTTTTTCTTTAGTTTCTTGGGAGTCTCTCATTTTCCACCTTGATGATTTTATAGTATAATTTGGCAAACGAGGGTCGTTGTCAACATATGCAAGTTTTAAGTATTATTATATGTGTGGTGTATTTAATATGTATAATGTACTATTAAAAACTGTTGATAATTATGCATATATAGTCAAATTAGCTTACTTGTAGATGGAGTATATTGACTACTCTCTAGTTTCTTACACATTATTGTTTGTTTTCTGATTCATTGGCATCTTGTATTCGTATTTCATCTTGAAAGTTATAGCTCATGTTTATATTTTATTCATTTATATATATCTATAATTTACATGTATAATCATTGTTAAAACAGTAATCTTCTCTGTTCATGTTACAGGTTTCATTATTTGAAGATTTTTTATTGATATAACTTGGCCTTTGACTAATCAAAAGCTCGATAAAGCTTGCTTACACCGTAATTTAATAATTCATGTATATCACATGGAGACGTGTAGACATATATATATCGTCTCTGCAGGGATGAACTTTTAATATAAAGTCCTTATAAATGATATATCCATTATAAAATACGATCAACGACAAATACAATTAGTTAATCGAGTTGGTTTAATTGGTAAGCCGATTTTGTTTGGCATTTTATGGCTTGTCCGTACATATATTTTCACCTAATACCGATCTTGCTTGGACCATAGCCTCTAATTTGGGTTATTTTTGTCTTGCTTTTGTTGTTTTTATCTTTTTTATAATTATTTTTCAACAAGTGAGGTATATATTGATATTTATAACATGCTTTTCTATTACATCAATGGATAATAATTAGTTTTTTTTATTAAAAAAAAAATTATTGCAAAGAGATGTTTACAAGGTGAGCAATCCCAAAGAGGATCATGTGCATCTAATTAAATGCATTCCCTAAATAATTAGACATTCATTTCCTAATATTAACGTATTGAAAACCATGTTCTTACTCGTTTTCTTGTGTACCAAGAAAGGCAACGGAAAGCCTTAATTCAATATGTAGCAGCTAAGCAACACACACACACACCGACAGACAACACTCATTATTATTTTCATTTAATATTCAATTTACACAAAGCTTTCTGAATAAACAATGAACCAGAGAAGACGACACTGAAGTGCAAATTATCATCAGCATTTCTTAGTAGGAGATAGACACAGAACCTGAAGGGTTGTGTGTTGGTAGTACCAATGAACTGGTAGCTGATAATGTGAAAAAGATTTCATTGACTCTTATTTATACACTTGCACAAATACTTTGGTAATATCACAGTGTCTTCTTAAATTTACATAGGCAATGGCTTGTTGTCGAGAAACGACTGGAAAAGAAGAAAACCTCTACGAGGACGGTGAAGAGGCACCTCATGTCCTGCTCCATGTATTGTCACCAGAGTCAGCCCTTGGTAAACTTGGCTCCACCCACCTACCTGTTGTTTCCCTTATACATTAGTTTAGTCCCACGGATAGAAAGACAATGATTCAAAGGAAACAGAGTATATTTTGTTGTTGTTTTTCGACCTGTCCATTGTCGTTCCAAGGATACCATTTGGATACTGGTTGTAACTTGAGGGCCCTAATGGAGTATCGTGTACCAGTAACGGGAACCACTGAATCAGTGTCTCCGCTGGATCCAAATGTACGGGACAATATATCAATCATGGTATGGTACCAAACAAACAGGTACAAGACAGTGATAAAAAGGAGATTTTGTTACCTGAAAACCCATATCCTGAGGCCTGCAGCGATGAGTTCCTTGTAGATTGGAAGCATAGATAGAGGAGAATCTGCCCATTTCTCTCCAACAATGTCACTAAAACACACACAATTATGTCACTGCACATGGATGGAAACAAGAGAACTTTTCTTGTAAAATTTGATACAGATTAATGTGTTATTTACCTGCAACCTTTCCATGAATAAGCAAGTCCTGTGATATTAGCATGCATAGCCTTTTGAACCTCCGGAGAATTGAAATACATGCCGGAGTATCTCTCTGTGCAAGGGTCATATGCTCTCCACATCCATGGCTGAGTAAAAGAAAAAACTTGGCAAGATCAGAAATTTGTCAAATCTTGGTACCTATGGACTGTGCCTTGGTAGCATAACTTGGATCTATAGACGCAGCCATAAAGCAAATCAACTAACAATGAATTGGCATCAAGAAGCAGAGAGAAAAGAGAGAGAATCTGAAAATTTCTCTGCAGTCCAGGTATCATGTAATCGTCGCCACTCTACCTACTTGGACTACCCTAAGAATCTATTTATTGAAATGAGAATTGAGAAATAAGGTCATTTGAATTTGGTAGCACAAAAAGAGGCTCTAATACATAGCCAATTATGCACTTTAAAGTTGGTAGCCAATTCTGCATTGTGAAGTTGGAACCTTTTAATGACCAAACTACATTACTTGAGCTGGGAATAGTAGTTAAAGGAAAATGATGGGCAGTGATCAGAAACTCACATGACGGACCCTCGAGAAGCGTGACCTAAGAGCTGCAGCCTCCTTCGTACAAGTGATAGTGTAAATGCTATATGGATCAATCTTCCCCTGCTCCAAATCTGCAGCTTTCATGGCATTGCTGCATTCAGGGGATGGGTGCTCAGATGATACAAATTCACATGTGATCCGTAAGTTGTGGTAAGTGAGATCAGATATCAATCCATGAGTCCACCAATATTCAAATAAACCCACGAAATCATGATAGTCATCAATCACAGCATTCCCCACCTAAATAAGAAGAAGAAACTCACTTTGATCACACACACACACACAAAAACATGGTTTGTTCAAAATGGATCTTGGTGCTTTTTTTTGCTTACAATGAAGCCTTTGAAGTTGATAAATGGATTGCGCTTCTCATAAACAATTTGTGACAACTGAGGAACATAATGACCTGAGAAGAAAAGTGAATATGCTTAGCTAAGACCAAAAAAAAGAAGAAGAAGCAAAAGGTCTTCAATTGAATCGAACCAATGATAATAACCTGCATAGCTTTCTCCAGCAATGTAGAAATCTCTGTGCTTGTATTGTGGAAACCTCTCAAACCATTTCAAAAGAAACACATACGCATCTTCAGCTGGAAACAAAATAAACAAAAAAATCATGAAATGGTTGATAAATCGAATCAAATCTAGAGAGAAAGAGGTCAAAGTTTACAACTTTACCAGTTCTCTTGTCTCCGGCAGTGTACAAATCGGAAGTGGTATTCGAATACGAGAAACCAACACCAGCTGGAGATTCGAGAAACAGCAAATTCGCCACTGCCCAATATATAAAATTGTTACTTTAAGGATTTAAAAGTGAGAAATGTAGATAGAAAGGAGAGAGAGATAGAAAGAGAGATTACATTTGTTCCAAGAGTAAGGATTGTGGTAAAGGGTTTTGCCATCAGGATTGATTCTAAAAGGCCCGATTTCTTCAGCAGCCCCGTAAGCAAGGGAGGAGCAACCAGGGCCACCGTTGAGCCAGAGGACGAGTGGCTTAGATTCGGGGTTTTGACTCGGTGGTGACTCAGTGAGCCAGTAGAAGAGTGCTCTGCCTGCTGACTCGTTGACGGTGATGTAACCAGAGAAGTGAGAGAAAGAGACATCGTTTGGTTCACCGGGAAGGTGATAGATTCGGTCCTTTTCCTGTTCGTCTCTCCAACAAGAAGCGTAGTAAGGGAGAAGAATGAGGAAGAAGAAGAGAAGGAATCGAGCCATGGAGGATGAGTGAGTGATGAGGGTGAAGATTTCAATGTTTTGATTACAAAATCATTTGTATAAAATAAGGTAAGAAAATGTGGTGGTGGGAGAGTTTAATAATGGCCGTTAATATAGAACTTTCTTACAGCATTGACTTTTTTTAACTACTTGCCACGATGACCTTGCGAATCCCATGTCCGTATCATCATCCGTTTACTAGCGTCATCGAACTTTCATGTTTGTTACAATCTTTTGTTTTGATATCCTAAACTAGATTAGAGTCTGTCTAGTAGACCAGAGAAATCATATACGAGCACTACATTAGAAATAGAAAGTAAAATGTCGCAAATAAAAAACAAAATAGAAGCCATACAGTATGTGAAAGCGTTGTTGAAGAACAAAACATGGGCATCGAACGCACCAGACCACTAAAAATATATTTTTGCACTTTCCAAGTTTGTTTGTAATTTTTTCTTACCAAAATCACCAAAAAAAGAGAGTATGTGAGTACATTCATGCCCAATCATTTGACAGATAATACTTAGAGTTGTAGGACATTTGTTTGAGCTTGCATGGTTTTAGTCTATTTCTGTGTACTGAGTCTGATAGAGAGGTCCAAAAAGAACAAGTTTTTGGGCAGATTAATAAGACTCCTTTTAGGGATTTTTCAAAGACAATAGATGGATGGGAAAAAATTTAAGATTCATAAATACAAGGGAATTAGGAAAGTGGGAAGATAAGTGTCCCTAAACAATAGTAAAACATTAAGAAGACACATTTCCTTCAATTATCAAGATATGGTTGAGTTTCACGTCTGAGCTCTTCCGGCAAGCGACGAAGAAGAGATTCTTCATCAGTGCCCCTGACATTTTTCCAAAGGGTTTTCTCGTTTTCCTTAATGCGTTTCTTAAGATCTTCTGGTAGTTTCCTAAATGTCATCCATGCTTCTGTGTCTTTCTTTCTCTCGATCATTTCGTCTGATCTGACGGTACTTGTTAGCAAGTATTTCTATGACCACCAAATTAAAAGGAATCCATCAGTTTGACGTACGACATCAAAATAAATGTAGAGTCGCTTGTGGTACGTATGAGCATATTATTACCTGAACGTTTCCAATAAGTACAGCAACCAAGAATAAACCACAAGCGCATATGACGATAGCCAAAAGAATATCTGTTGCCGAGTTGCCTGGCTTCAGGCTTTCGCCAAACGTACTGTATTCATTAAACACAACGTTGAGCACAACATATATCATCTTTTTTTTTCTTTTTTCACAAGAATTTGAGAGATTTTAGATGTACAAACCTAAGATTTCGAAGACCCCACCAAAAGCAGTAGAAGAACTTCTTTGGAAAATTCCTTAGATTAATACTTCCCACCTCAGACTTCACCACTTCACCGTACATACCGAAGTCGTATATCGTTTTGTTTTCGAGCCCGACCAAGTATTTGGATGGTCTTGGGATTTCCGCAGATTCTCTTATTGGGCATGAATTTTTCAGGAAAACACTGTTGTTTTCACCATCTACTAAATGTGGACAATACAGCTTCGTGACATTGCCAGGTCTCTGCCAAACAGTGAAATTCCCAAAGCCAGGAGACATAGTCTTATTCACCCAAAAGTTATGCCAGCATATGCTTAGCTTTTCAATTCCAGTAACGTACCAGAACGCCCCAAACACCTAGCCAAACATCACATATATATATATTTATAAATTGTAACAACAATTCTTATTATGTCGTACATATAACAAAAGAATAGCAAATTAAAGACTTACATAACTGCACATCAGGAAGAGCAAAAGGTTCAAAAGAGCTCCAATCCACTTTGATTCTGATATTGTAACAGTGGTTTTTGTCACAATTCTGTAAATCGGATAGATGCGAATGATCCTTGGTATATACTGAACAACTATGGTCCACTTGAGTACTCTATTTGTCACGAGATTGTTAGACCACTCAGTACGGACGAGGAGAACCATCACCTACAATATTTTGCATTAAAACAATATCTCTCAAGAAAAGAAAGAATGCACGATAAAGTAAAAGTAGAGATGTCACAAAGGAAGAGAGAATAATGCCGTACGTACCACAGGAATGGGGAGAAGAGAAACAATGTCAACAATAGTGTAGAAGAGTTTACTTCTTTGGCTCATCTTGCCTCTCAAAGATGTTTGAGAACGAATGATTTGATACGCATAGATTATGTCAATCAAGATACGAAGGACACAAACTGTTGTTCTAAGCGTTTCGTCGAAACCGATGCATAATTTTAGATAATCAATTTCAGGAATAAAGAGAAACAGAGGATCAATAGCCAAAGCAACCACACAAACTAAGAGAAAGGACTTCCTCCAGTATTTGCTCCACTTTTCAGAGGTTTCTATCTTCTCGTAAAAACCATTCCCAGTACCCGACCTGTTTCATCAAGATATATCACTACAACTACAAATTTTCAAAAAAAGTAAACAAAATGTATAAGTTATATATTAAAACTAGCTACCTTGCAGAACTAGTCATCTGAATATCCATGTTTGTATGAAGTTGCCTTCTTGATCTGCTCACTATGTATTAGACTAAAATCAGAATCATAAGAGAAGACTGAGAACCTGAATTCATTTATATAAGAAATCAAGAGAGAAAACAAAACATGACAGTGGGAATATATTGCCAAAGCTTATCCCATTTCCTCAGAAGCTCCAAAACTGTGGGCGATGCAGTTTATTCAACATCGACGCCTACGATTTAAGACGTCTTCTAGCTAGTTGTTCTACCTCTTCTGTCCCTTTCCCTGAAACTTACAATGCCTTTATTCTTTACTTTCAACTTGCCAATGCCTTTATTCATATATAAGCCAATTTTTTTATTTGCAACTTGCCATTTTGGTTCCGAGAACCTTTTCATTTTAATTTTAAATTTTTTCCTTTTTTTCTCATAAATGATTTTTATTGGATATCAATTATCCCACATGACACATCATACAAAGGTCTGAACTACTGGCGCCCCTGACCCAAAAAAAAAAAAAACTACGTGCAAGCCCACAACACTGGTGATTTATTTAAAGGAAAAAAAGAAGTTCTACTTGAACAGTAAAGAGAAGAAAACTAATCTTTTGCCATGCGTCCACATAAGTACGTGTCAATAAACTGGATATAAGCAAAGATACATGTCGATGCGCTGTTTGACCACCCATTGCGGGGATAGACTACTCCTACAAAAGAACCGAACATGGATTCTTGAATTATTGCATCAAAGTAATGAAATTGTTCTTGGCTCGAAAGAAGGGAGTCAAAGTGCTTGACTTTATAAAAGAGTCTGCTTTATTGTCTCCGTTTACTTTTCTCCCTGTCCTAAGCCAATTGTTTTTTGACCATATTACATGCATTATGTTACTTAACTTTGAATAAATGTTAAGAGTGTAGCTAATCAGCTTCTTTTGCATTTTTACTAGTCTAAAGTGCATCCAAAAAGAAACGCTGATTAAATTACCTTAAGAGTGTAGCTTAGCTAATCAGCTTCTTTTTCTATTAAGTTTTTGCGTTTGAGAGGCTTTCTCAATTCAACAGTGTAAGAAACTATTATTCCACCTCATTTTTTGTGGTTAATTTTTTTCTTAAACTAACTAAAACATTAATTTTTAGTGGTCAAGTCCAACTAATGTCTAAAATAAATCGACATTAAAAATTCTAAATTTTGACTTTGGATCAGGTATTTCAGATTTTTGGATATTCGAATTTAAGAATATAGCATCATTCAAATATTTCTTAGTTTCAAATCAGATTAGATTTGGGTACATTCGAGATTAAATCGGATTCAGATATTCAACATATTAAAAAATGATTAAACTACTTAAATAAATTTCTTTAAAATTTTCGACAATGGGAAGATTTTTTGTTATTTAATTATTAATTTAATCTTAAAATAATTAGTATTTTGGTTTATAAAAAAAAAACAATAAAAAAAAATGCAAGCTTTTAAAAAACAAAAAAAAAAAAAAAAAAAATTTAAACCAAAATACTTTTTATAATTGTTTAGATATAGATATTTGGGTTATATAAAATTTAAATATAATTATACAAAAAAATAAAAAAGATTTTAGATATTTTGAATATTTATTCGGTTGTCCGCTTGAATCGGACTCTGATTTGGGTGTTCGGGTTTTGACATCTGAAACTGTTCAAATATTCTAAACACTTTGGATTCCGTTAGATTTTGTTTTTTTTTTTCTTATCGGGTTCGGTTTAAGAGCTTGGGCTAGCCTTGAGTCCAGATCCAGAACTTAGCTAATGGATGGGCCTCTTTGGGTCGAGAGAGTTTAACAACTTGTGCGATTGATTAATAATGGCCGTTATAGTAATTGTAGTGTCTTTACAGCATTGACTTTTTATTTTTTTGATAACCTCTTTTATTACCTCCGTATCAACAACAATCTTTTTCTAGTTTTGCATGCATGCATGATACTTGTCTATTACCAAGTATATTTTACACTTTCTAAGTTTGTTTGCAAAATTTCTTACCTAAAACACAAAACTAAAGTCCGTGCACACATTCATACCCAATCATTTGACAATACATAAAGAGAGTTCAGATTTGTAGGACATGTTTGAGCTTTCATGGTTAAAATAACTTACATGGAGTCATTGTCTGTGTACTGAGTCTGATAGCTAGAAGTCCCAAAAGCACAAGTTTTGGGAGACTGCCTCTTTTTGGAGTTTTTTTTTTTTTTAAATTCATTAGATAGAAGGATACAAAGAGAATAGATGGAAACCACAACCACAAAACAGTAGCAAATTCAAGACTTACATAACTCCACAACAGGAAGAGCAAAAGGTTTAAAAGAGCTCCAATCCACTTTGATTCTGCTATTGTCGCAGTGGTTTTTGTCACTGCTTTGTAACTCGGGTATATGCGAATGGTTCTTGGTATATACTGAAAAGCTATGGTCCACTTGAGCATTCTCTTTGACACCAGATTGTAAGACCCTTCATAACGGAAGAAGTGTAAAACCAGTGCCTGCAAGATTTTGTATTGGAACATCACTCAAAATAATTAAAATAATAATAATAATAATAATAATGCACGTAGATGTCACAAAGGAAGAGAGAATAATACCATATGAATGGGGACAGCAGAAACAATGTCGATAATAAAGTAGAAGTATCTTTTTCTTCGGCTCATCTTGCTTCTCAAAGATGTTTCAGGAAAAAAGATGGCGAACCAACATAACAAGTCAATAATGATACGAAGGGAAGCAACTGTTTTTCTAAGCGTTTCGTCAAAACCGATGCATGATTTTTGATAATCAATTTCAGGAATAAAGAGAAACAAAGGATCAATAGCCAAAGAAACCGCACAAACTATCATAAAGGACTTATTCTTCCAGTTTTCAGGGGTGTCTATCTTCTTGTAAACCTTCTTGAAGAATTCTTTTACACCATTGCATCCATGCTCAGTACCCAACCTGTATGAACAAGATATCACGAAAAAACAAATAAATATATATATATATATATATATATATATATATATATATATATATATAGTAT